TCCCTCATGCCACATTCCTCAAACCCCAAGGTTGGGTACAAACAAGATTAAGAGCATGGGGCATGCTCTTCTGCCTCCATTTAAACTTACTGTCTTTCTCTTCCTATAGTTGCAGACCAGATCCCCATCCTAGGGCCCCCAACACAGCACAGGCTAGAGCGAGGACAGGCTCGAAGGCTTCTGCACATGCTGCTTTCCTTATGGAAGGATGACTTCCAGGGGCCAATTCCACTACAGCTTCTACTCAGCCCAAGAAATTTGGGGCTTCTGGCAGATACTCGGCCAAGGGAGGTAAGTCAGGCACAGGTTCTCTGTCTGTAGTTTTGGTTTCTTTTGGGGTGGGAGGTTAGATATATTTTATGTGTACAAAGTTTTTGCCAGCACGCATGTATGTGTACTGTGTGCATACGTTTTGGGATCCCTTCGAACTAGGGTGGCTATGAACCACCATGTCAGTACTAAAAATTGAACTTGCTAAACAACAAGTGCTCTTAACCTCTAGCCATCTCTCTAGGCCCATGTGTATGGATTTTCAAATAGGATCTCACTCTAGTCTGCAGCATTCTTCCTGCCTCTGCCTCCCACGTGCTGATTACAGATGTGAGCTACCGTGCCTACCTAGCTCCTCCACTCATGTTGAGTGTTAAGGGGATTCTGTTATGTGTGGGGCTGTACTTGTTAGTGAGCACTGTTCATGGTAAATCTGAAGGTCATTAATTGGATAAATTAGGAGGGTATTGGGCTTCTAGAATTTTCCTTTCTTTAGCTCCCCCAGCACTCAGGCTACAGATAAACAAACACAGGTTTCCAAACGCAGGCCATTATGTTTGCACATCAGGCACTTTACTGAGCTCTCTCTTCATCCCTGCAAGTCATGTTCTTAACATTATGCAGTGCTTCATCCCAATGTTTTGTTTTGTTTTGTTTTTAGAACAGGGTTTCTCTATGTAGCTCTGGCTGTCCTGGAACTTGCCCTATATACCAGGGTGTTCTCGAACTCAGAGGTCTGCTTGACTCTGCCTCCTAAGTGTTGGGTTTAAAGGCATGTGCCACCACCATTGCCCAGGTGCAGCAAGTGCCTTAACAGCATGCCGAGCCGTCTAACTCCAGCTGTCTTTTCTCTTGGGACTATTGTTCAGTTCTTAGTCCCTACTGTTAAGAGTACTATGTATGGTCTTGACAACTTTTGACCTTCTCTGTGGTGGTTTGCAGTGGGACCTGCTACTGTTCTTACTCCGGGAGCTGGTAGAAAAGAATCTCATGGGACAGCTGGAGATAGAAGCCTGTTTGGGAAACCTTAATGAGGCCCAGTGGCCAGGGGTAAGGAATCTTAATCTCTTATTATTAATTGTCTTATATGAAGAGAGAAAATGTCTCATTTGTCCTAAAGATTGCCTATGTAGCCCAGGCTAGCCACAAGCTTGCATTCCTTCTGCTTGCTGAATGCTGGGATTTCAGTGCTGGGACTGAAAATCCATGGCACTCAAAAATGCATGGCAGCTACATGCATTTTTGCCATGTGTTTCCAGTACTGGGTTTGATCTGTGTGACTACTTTGCAAGACTCAGAAGACCAAAGGAGAAGGACAATTGGAAAGCAGCACAGCACAGTGAATATTTGGAATTTGAAAGTCAGATTTCAGTTTGTGTTTAAAATGTTCTTGTGATTGAGAGCAAAACAGTATCCATAAAATAAGATTAAGATTTTGTGCCTCAGCTTCCTGTCAGAGTCCACTTTCCCTGCTAGAACTTAAGCCTTGGCTTGCTAGTCTGGGAGGTTTCTATCAATTTTTCCATAGAAGGCATTGGGTGAAATACATGGGTTGTCATTCTCTCCACTGTCTGTGAGAGCTTGTTTGGTACTTACCTTAGAAAGGGCAGACCATCTAGAATTCTTTTCTCTTTAACTTTTTTACTTGTTTCAGGACTTCTCAGAAGAATTATCAACACTATTTCGCTTGTTCTTAGCTGAGCCCCATCTGCTAGAACCCCAGCTAAGAGCTTGTGAACTTATGCAACCAAACCGTGGAACAGTGCTGGCCCAAAGCTAGGGCTGGGAAGCAGCCCTCTTGGGCATGACTCCAGAACCTGCCTCCTGTGCCTCAGAAGGAGGCTCAAGAGCCCACTGCACGCCTTGCTGGGGCAAGAGTGGCCATACCTGTAATCAGGCTTACTGCTTCTAAGTGAAGGAAGTGTGTAGCTGCAGAGCATCTACAGACAAGGGCCTCAACACCTGAAGTCTTGAAGAAGGAGAATCGGATTCAGAGTCACAGTGGAAAAGCCTAGACTCCAATCTTGGAGCAGAAGGAAGGCTTGCATTTCTCATTTGGATGCTAAATGAAATGCATGTGTGCTGGTCAGTGCATTTCAAGCCTCAAGTTGCTGCTATCCCAGCATTTCTTAAAACTTATTCTGAGAAATCTTGATAGGCAAAGGACTGCTTTACTTGTGAGAAAGTTAACAAAACATGGATTTGGAAGTCTACATTTTCTCACCTACAGAAGCTGGACTGTCACCCTACCCCCAAATATTGACAGCCTATTAAAAGGTAGGACACATCTATGTGAAACTTGGTCTTACGTGGACCTTCACCTCTTTGCAGGGAACTTAGTCCTCAGACCAAGCATGGTGTAGAAAATTAGGGATTTGGGTCTTTTATAAATAAAACTTTTAACAAGGTCTTGATGGCTATTTTCCCCTGCTTTTATTTATCCCCTTTCTGAAAGCAGGCTTTGTGCATTGCAGTGAGTGAACTGCCTTGTCTCTTCATGATGCTTGCATTCTTTCATGCTGAGACCCAGTCTTAGAGATACAATCTGCTATGAACTATGGCCATCTACTATCGACATATTCCCTGATGCCTAGGCTGGCCCACATGGCTGGTAACTTTGGTGATATCTGTATTATTGACCCTGGAATGTCTGATTTATCTCAGAACTTACTATTGAGCAAAAGCAGTCTTCTGGGTTATAGTTGTCAAGACCTCGTTTCAATAAATGGGCAGGTGATTTTTAAAAAATTATTTTTATTGCACTTAGCATGTCTGCACATAAGTGCTAAGGCACACTTCTAGAGGTCGGAGAACTTCTTGTAGTCAGTTCTTCCACCAGGTGGATCCCAGGGCTTAAATTCAGGTCATAAGGCTTGGCACCAAGTCATTTTGATAGCCTCTGGAACCATTGATTTTAAGAAAGAAGATAGTAGATAGTATTTTGATAATGTGCTTTATCCCTAAAAAATACTGGGCTTTTTGTTTTGGGAGTAAGACTTGGACTTTAATGGAAGTATCAGAAGTTTTCTCAGTGATAAATAACTCTTGAAGCTACATGTAAAATATTTGTATGCAGCATATCTTAGTTTGCTGCTGTCAAAAAGGCTTCTGACCGAAGGAAAGTTAAGTTTCTCTAAACTTAAACTCACTTACCCATTGGTGTATCATCTCCTTCCCTTAACTCCTTTTTATTTTATTAAAAAAAAAAAGATTTAATGTACATTGGGGTTTGCCCTACATGTATGTCTGTGTGAAGATGTCTGATCCCCTAGAACTGGAGTTACAGACAGTTGTGAACATGTGGGTGCTGGGAATTGAACCTGGGTCCTTTGGAAGAGCAGCAAATGCTTTCAACCGCCAAACAGCCTCCTGCCCCTTAACTCTTTTAAAATGCTTGAGCATCAAAGTGTTTTTCCAGGTCTAGGATTGGGCCCAGGGGCCTTGCCTCACACATTAACCACAAACTTAGACTGCTCAGTTCTGTCAGTACTGGTATCAAGCCTAGGGAGTTATTCTACCACTGACTGAGCTTCAAGCCCAATAGACAGTCATAAATTTTCTTTTCCTCTTTCTGTTCTTAGAGGTCAGTATTAGAAGGGTGTGGTTGAACCACAGCCCTGCCCCAGAAAGCTGCGAGCCCTGGTAAAGGTGAGCAGTAGGCTAACAGCCAATTCTTACATTGTTTGGGAAAGCCTGCTGTTTAAATTGCAGGACTCAGCTATGAAGAAAGCCTTAAGGTGCACACAGAGAAACTTGCAAGACACTTGCTCAAACGACTGTTGATAAAGATAGGCAGCTAATGAGCTAGATAGGGGACTAGTCATTCTCCTTTCTGTACATAAGTACTTTTTTGAGGATGTCTGATTTATCTCAACTTCCTTCTAACCATAAGCAGTCTTCTGGATTATAGTAGGTGATAATTGTACCGTGTGTTCTGTGGACCAGTAGCCATAGCACCTGGGACTTTCTAGAGGTAAAAATACTTAGCTCCCAACCTGGCCAGGAACAGGTTCCGCTTGGGGTGATTCTCATGCTCTCCAAAGCCTGATTTACCCTTTGTCTTTTGCAATAGGATCAGTGCAGGTCCACAAATATGGAAATACACTGTGGTCAACTATTGCTTAATACATAATGGCATAGTGTTACAACTACATCTATCTTCTTTAATAGATTCTTGGGTTTCCCCCCCCCCTCCTGTATCCTTTAAATTTAATATTATCTAGAGATGATTTAACTATGTATAAATAATTACAAGAAATTTTTGCTTGAATATCTTTTGATCTATGGTTAAATAGATGGATGTGGGACATGAAGCTACAGAGAGTTGACTATGTGACAGATGGCTTACCATCTTATGCTAGATAGCCAGCCTATTCCGATTCCTACAGTTCCTGAACTCATAGGAAATACCAGCACATGCATGTAAGCAGAAAATGTCAACTCTGGATCATAAGTAGACATGGCCATCATGACCCTCAAGGATTTTTTTCCCCCTTTTGGTTTTTCCAGATAGGTATAGCCCTGGCTGTCCTGGAGTTCACTCTGTAGACCAGGCTGGCCTCAAACTCTCAGATCCACCTGCCTCTGCCTCCTGAGTGCTGTGATTAAAGGTATGTACCACTACTGCCTGGATATTTTTGTTTTGTTTTGAACAAATATTTTGACTTTTTTTCGGTCAATAGTCTCAGTAAGGCACTTATATGAAAAGAAGCAGAAGCAGAAACTAAGAATGGTGGCTCATTGTCTTTAGTTTAGGACTTGGAAGTTTTACAGTATTCAGTTGGTAATATAAATACTCTAAGGGATTAGAAAAATCTTGCAAAGAAGTTTACCCTTTAACCATTCTTCTATCTCCATAAGAGTACCCTTTTCCACCAAAGAGTTTGAGTGACAGAAATAGATGAGTTTTTTTGTTTGTTTGTTTTTTGAGACAGGGTTTCTTTGTGTAGTCCTGGCTCTCCTGAAACTAGCTCTGTTGACAAATAGATCTGCCTCTGCCTCTTGAATGCTGACATTAGAGTGTGCACCACTTTCCAGCACTAAAAGTAATTTTTTATCCCTACCATTTCCCGATGAACCTGGAACATCTTCAGTGTTCAGCCAGGCCAAGAGTCAAGATATAAGAAAACAATCCTTTTTCTATTCTCTCATATTAGAACAGTTAAACTCAGTACTTAAAAAGATGGTTCAATATTTATTTTTTGTTGCTTGAGACAGGATCTCTTGTATTCCAGACTGGCTACCTAAAGGTGATCTTGAACTTCTACTACCAGAGTGCTATAGGCATGTGCCACAACACTCTACTCAGCTAGTAGATTTATATAAAAAGTAGGTTCCAGGTGTGGTGGCTCATAATCCCAGCATTTGGGAGATTGAGCCATCATGTTGGCACAAGGCCAAGGCCTGCTGGAAAATAATCCTCTCCAAGACAGTCTGTTTGAAATCCCTCTTATCATGTCAGCAAGCAGCATGTAGCTCCTCCTACCTGCTACTAGTCTTCAGGCCCCACAGTTGCCTCCCATTGTACTGAGCTCAAGCTAGATTAACTGTACCAGCAACATAGAGTGACCCAGTAGAAGTAGTGTGTGTGCATGTAGGTAAATACGAGTAGTGAAGCATTTGTAAACACTCGGTGAGAGAAAACAATTCTGAATCAGACTTTGGTTTGTGCAGTTGATTCTTTAAACTGGTTTGATCCTTTCTGTCACTCCATCACAAAATGGAGATGAATGTTGGAGGCAGATTCAGAGCACCCTTGGCTAGTGCTTGCCTGCCAAGGAGGCACCTTGCCAAGGCACTGCAGTCCCCAGCTCTGCAGGCTATACTTTTTCCAGTCCTTGGTTGGTGTGTTAAGTCCCAGAGGCAGGAAATATCCTAAAAGTGAATTGAGTTTCATTGGACAGCCAGGGCCAGGAAATTCAGGTTGCTCACTCTTCAGAGGTAACCAAGTACTAAATACTGATTTTGCTGGCAATGCTGGGCTGATGCCATATGTATAGTTGGCTACCACAGGCAGCCTGGGCTCTTCTTGCCTCAGGGTATAGAAGCAGCTATAGAGTCTCAGGTGTTCTGGGCCTATATTTCAGCAGCTATCTCCACAGCCCAATACTAACTACCAAGGAAGGATGCCAGCTTGGCTACAACCAGCGGCTGCTGTTTGATAAAGGAGTTCAGAAGATGAGGAGGGAAGCCTGGTGCACCCAGCTCCACCTGGAAAGAGAAGGAAGAAATGAAGGTGTACAGACAGACCTGTAACAGCCACTCTGGCAGTGGTGACTGGAGATGCACATGGGCTCCTGAGTTTGGATCTAAGTACTAACCTTCCCCTCCCCAATGTTGAAGGTGGAGTTGACCTGAGAGTTGGAGAGCTGTACAAGATGGGTGAGCTAGGATTCTGCTCTGTTGCTGCCTTCAGCTCCAACAATCCATCTATTTCCCAAGGACACTATAGTCAGCTGTAATATTAAGTTAGTCCATCTCTGGTGCTGGGGGCTTCACAAAGACTATAAACTTGCTCATTCCCGCTCTTTAATTCCCCTTGCTGTGAGCCTACTCTAGCCAGATGGCCTAGCACCCAGGGATTCTATGCAGTTGGAAAGAAATATCCCAAGGTATTTCATGAGATAGGGTGCAGTGCTGTGTCACCTGGGCAAGGAAGATGACTCTGGTTATTTCTTTCCCCTCCATGATGACAGGCTGCAGGACCCAGGCACTGGGCAGGATCTCTCCTCGGACCATTTTTCTGCTGGGTCTTGGCATGGATGTATCATACACAGACTGAGCTGCCATAATTGACAGGTGCCCCTAGGGACAGAGATACATGTGAGTTCTCTACCTGTGTAATAAAAAACAGGGACAGGTTTAAGTATATAGTCAGGATGATGACTTAAGCCACCTTACCCTAGCACCTGCTAATTGCACCACAGCCCAAGTTCATCCCAAAACATTTTACCACCAGCAATATAGGCACCTCTTTGGCTTCCACGCAGACACAGCAGAAATCACGCAGCTGCTTCAGCGCACACAGTGTGGTGTCACACACCAAGTACACTAGAAGGACAGAAAGATTTATTCCATGCTCAGAAGTCCCACTTTATTCCATTACTAGATCTCTAGCACAATCTTGCTGAGCAGTCTGGAGCTCCTAACAGTGCTGCTCCAACCCTCTACCTCTGACTGCTGGCCAGGCGTTCGGAAGCTTTCAAGCCCTTGGACTCACCCAAGCTGATACTGTTGGACACTCGCTGATGTAGCCTTGCTGTCTGGATGGGCTTGTGGTACAGAGGCCACAGAGTGGGATCACTCACAGCTGCCCACACATGAGAGAGTGGCTGGGACACCACACCTGCACCCAAGAAGCCGTGTCGAGTAGAAGAGAATTCCTTGTAGTAAAACTGCACCTCTTGTTCCTCACCCTGGTAGCTGGGTCACAGGAGGGAAAATAGAAAGGAGGCTACCAGCATGAGGTGTGCCAGGAAAGCCAGGGCAGAGAAAGAGAATCATAGCAGAAGGACCAAAGCACTGCAAAATAACTTACTTCCAGCCAGCTGCTGCCTGGCGGCTGAAAAGGTTGTGGAGATTATCTGAACAAGCAGCCATTACCTGGGGACAGAGGGGAGAAGCCAGGTCTCTAGATTCAACAGTTCCGCTAACATTTACTAAATGTCCATTTACCAAAATGAAGAGTTCTTGAAGTTCCCATGCCTTAGTGGCCCTAATCTGCCTGGCTTCTTTCCCTCCCCATCCAGCATAAGTCTGGCCACAGCAACAGGAGGGGAAAACAAGTAGGCGCAGAGACTCACATCAGCCATTGAGGTGTTGACAATGTGTTTAGCCAAATCCTGGTAGGGAGAGGAGAAGCAGGTCCCTAAACTGGATAGGCTGGAGGGAGAGCAGCAGCCACTGCCCAGGGAGGCTCTGCGGCCTACAACAAAGAGATGAAGCCTCTGTAAAGACCTGAACACCAGCATGGTGGGACAGTGGTATGGGACCAAGAGTCTTGAGCCAGTTAATCTCACAGCTGTCATTCCCCAAGCTTCCTACTCACTGTGGGCTAAGCTTTTCCAGGTAGATCCGGTCAGATACAGCTGACTGTTCCTCGCTGTGGACCGACCACGCCAACCCCCTATCCAAGTGTCTCGGAAGTCTGGTACTTGAGAGTCCTCCTGCAGAATAGAGGATACTTAGAACAGGAGATCCAGAAACATCTACTAGCAGTTGCAATGGGGCTTTAGGAAGTTAGATGCTGTGGTGGTTTGAATAAGTATAGCCCCCAAACGCTCATAAGAGCTTTGGAAGCCTTTAAGCTCTTGGCCTCAACAAGGCTGACACTGTTGGTTACTAGAAAATGGCACTATTTGGAAGAATTAAGGAGGAAGTATGTCATTGGGAATGGATGGGTTTTGAGGATTCAAAAGCCCATGCCAGGACTAGTGTCACTACTGAATCAGAATATAGTGCTCAGCTACTTCTCAGCACCATGCCTGCCTGCTGCCATGATGATAATGGGCTAAGTCCCAAAACTGTAAGCAAGTCCCCAATTAAATGCTTTCTTTGAGTTGTCTTAGTCATGGTGTCTCTTAACAGCAATAGATACCAGCCGACAAAGCTTCATTATCCAGGCCACAGGCTTAAAGGGTTGCTTGCAGATCAGCTGCCATGGCAATCTGGATAATCAGTACTTGGGCATAGCCAGCCCTCTGCCAAATGGCCACAATCCAGGGTCATAGAAGAAGCCACCTGTATCATGGTGGCAGCAGGAAGTAGGCCATTATGGGGAAAGCGGGGGTTAGTGTGGGTAATAAAGTCAAAGTGAGGGGGAGATGAGGAAGCAATGAGCTGTGGACAGCAGACCTTGGCCCTGACCAAGTGCAGCACTGAGCCAGAAGTCCTACTATAGGACCAGAGCCTCTAGATCTCTCCTGTCTTTAGTTAGTAAACTCCCCCTAAGCCCGCCATTCTTCAGTGGAACAAAAACATGGGCCACTAAAGAGGAAAAGGCACCTGCCACCAAGCCTGAGGATGAGAGTCTCTGGGACAGAAATGATACTGAAAGCTGTCTTGTGACTTCTACATGTGTGATATGGTATGTGCATCATATACACACTAGATAAATGTAAAAAAATTTAAATGAGAAACAGTTCTACCTTCTTCCTTACTCTCCTGCTGTAACATTCTCAAGTCAGTTTTAGATCTGTAACTGTCAGAATCCATTTCACCTAATCATCGTCTTTCTCCACACTGCTTCCACCTTTCCCTTTTGACAGAGATGTCTTTCCCAGCATTGAGCTTCCTGAAGCCAATGTTCTGTCATCTCCTACTCCTCGCCTGTATAGCATCTGCCAGAACCTAGAACCATTTGCGCTCACGACTCCTAAAAAAAAAACAACAAAAAAACAAAACAAAAAACCCACTATAGGCCACAATACTGAGGGGCAACAAGATGCTTTCAGCTCCATCTTCCTGCATCTTTCAGCAGGCTGTCACATGCCCATCAAGATCTGTTCCTCTAGCACCCAGGCTCTCTGCTCCCACCCCTGTGCTCTGTCTCAATTTCTTACTGACTGTCCTTAACCACAAACTGACATCTTGGGATTCTTTTGCACTTGGGCCAATGCCCTAGGCGACCTCACCTGGTGACAATGCTACACTGATGATTTCTAGCTGTAATCATGAATTAATGTTGCTATGACAACTGGATTGGCATTGGGGGCAGGGATTACTACAGAGATCATTTTATAGATCAGGTCAAAATTAATTCCTTATGCTTTGTGGGTCAAAGATAATATCAGAGTAAGAAAAATGTAGCATTATTAAGAAAAAAATTAAAAGGCCAAAAAGCAGGAAAACACTAGTTAGTATGTAAAATAACACTTATCAAAAATCAAAATATAAAAACTATAGAAAAAAATACACAAAAACCCATGAAAAAATTAAACTACAACAGCACATTAAAAGAATATTCCTGGTATATAATATGAGTTCCGGGATATTCAGAGTTACACAAAGAAATCTTGTCTTGAAAAACACAAATTTTAAAAAAGGACTAGAAAGATGACTCGGTGCTTAAAGAGTACTGGCTGCTTTTCCAGAGGACCTGGGTTCAATTCTCAGCACCTCCATGGCAATTTTCAGCTGTCTGTATTCCAGTTCCAGGGTATCCGACACCCTCACCCGGACATAAATGTAGGCAAAATACCAATGAACATAAACTATAAAAAAAAATAATACATCATGCATGCAAGTATTTGGTGTGTATTTAGAAAATTCAAGAAAGCAAGGATAGTTTCATTTAGTCAATATGAACAAATACACAAGATGGCAAAAACTGAAAAGTAATGTCCTGGAAAAATCACACATGCTCCATTACAGTAAAAAATATATCTCAGTTTAAACTAGTATGAAGTAATAGAAGCATCATCCTGCTAATGTCTGGAAAAAGATGAGGACACTGGTTCTCACCTATTCAGGATCTACCTAATGCAGCTACAGGGCAGAAGCACAAAGTAACAAAAGTCTAGGATTTGATATGACATGCCTACAGTCCTAAAGAGATGAAGAGAAGAGAAGCTATCCAATATGACAGCCTCACTGTTTGCTGAGTGTGCCCAATGTGGCACATGTGACCTTAGAACATTATGGATGTGGTGTCAGTCACCTATTTCTCCACAAATACAAAGCAGATTGTAACCTCACATTTCCAGAAGCAGCTACCAAAAACCACTGGGATTCCACAGAATGGCAAATGGAAACCTATAGCTTCCAATGAACTGAGAAAGGAACACAGCAGGAGAAACAAAATATCCCAGCACTTGCCCTAGCTCCATTGCCCAGAAAGATGGCTCCCTTCTGCAGGAGTGAAGGGAAACAGAGTACAGGATAACTCATCAGTGCAAATGGGACAAGCCTGGCTACTGGGAAGACCCACAACCCTAACAGGCTTATAGCCAAGGTAGATAAGGAACTTGGAATCTCCACCTCCTGGCTTTAGGAAAGGATTCACTTTTAACTCGCAGGGCAGCGTCCTTGTCCCCTTTCCTGCCACTCAGCCCTTCCCCCGAGGTGCTGTAGGCAGAAGCCATTTTGATAATGGACCTGTTTGAATTTGTACTGCTCTGGGCATCCAAAATCCCTGTCCCCATCTCTGGAGTCCCATAGAAATTCCACTCTACCAGCAGCAAGGGGAGCCACCTCACAAACGAGACCCGGCCTAGTAGGAGTGACTGACTCACACCTGACGAGAACATGTGGGGACAGCACTGACACAGAAGGGAAAGAGAGGATTGTCCCAAATTACTAAAATGATGATCATACTTGACAACCTAGATTCCTAAAAGCTGGAAAATCTAATCTAATCTTGATAAATACAGATGGCCAACTTAAAATCAAGTGGACATAAAAAAAAAAAATCTATCACAAGCAACAATACTGAAACTACAATAATTTCCCAACAAAGAAAAGTCCAACGCTGAATGACTGCATTACCAAATTCTACCAAACCTTAGAAGTTAATGTCAGCCACGCAGTGGTGGCACAAGCCTTTAATCCCAGCACTCGGGAGGCAGAGGCAGGCAGATCTCTCTGTGAGTTTGAGCTGGTCTACAAGAGCTAGTTCCAGGACAGGCTACAAAACTACAAAGAAACCCTGTTTCCAAAAAAAAAAAAAAAAAAAAAAAAAAGTTAATGCTCCATAAAATAGAAAGGAAAGGAACACAACCAAACACATTCTAGGTAGCTAGTACTATACTGTCACCAAAGCCAAATAAACATACAACAGCAACAAAACTATAGGCTAAATTCTCTCATGAATTAAGATGGAAAAATTCTCTCAAGAAAATACTTGGAAACAGAATTCAAAGAATACATTGAGGAGCTGGACAGATGGTGCAGTGGTTAAAAGCACATGCAGCAGCCAGATAGAGTGGCACAGCCCTTAATCCTGGCGCTCAGGAGGCAGAGGTAGGCAGATCACCGAGTTCGAGGTCAGCCTGGTCTACACAGCCAGAGCTACATAATTGAGACCCTGTCTCAAGAACACAAACAAAAAAGAACATGTGCTGTTTTTCCATAGGCTCTAACTCCATTTCCAGGAGCTGATGCCCTCTTGTGGCATCTATGAACACTAGGCACACACGTTACACACATAAAAATTCAAGCACACATACATGCACATAAAATTAAATTTTTAAGAAATTCAGCATACCATTAAAAACATCATAAAAGCAATCCCACCCATAATAAGTGTTTCATTTATTTATTTTGTGGCTAAGAATAAACTAAGAAAGTCAAAGACCTACACAATGAAAATTGCAAAACAATGAAGAAATTGAAGAGAGGCTCAGAGGTTAAGAACACTTCCTGATCTTCCAAAGTACCCCACTTCAGTTTCCAGCAACCACATCTGCTTGTAACTCTACTCCAGGAATTCTGGTGTACACATTTACACAAACACACATACAAATGTAGGTAAAAAATGTTTTAAAATCTTTAAATTCAAATATGGAAATAACTCCCCAAAGTTCATTATTTGGAAGAATTATACAATTACATGTCCATGATACTCAAAGCAATTGACAGATTCAGCATAATCCTAATCAAAATGTCAATGTTATTCTTCATAGAAACAGAAGAAAACTAATCCCTAATTCATATGGAAATGTATTCCCAAACAGAGAAATCTTAAGTGAAAAGAGCAAAGCTGGAATATTTACAATACTTGATTTAGAGGAATGCTAAAAAACCATGGTAGCAAAATCAATGTGGTATTGGCATAAACAGACCATAGAAAATCTAGAAATCTTCCATGCACAGACAACTGATCTTTCCTTCACAAAGATCCCCAAACAAACATTGGAGAATGGACAGACTTACAGAGACCACTGGGATGAGTGGAAATGTACATGCAGAAGACAGGATCTGGACCCTCATCTCTCACCATCGCAAAATAACTCAGAATGGATAGAAAGATGTTTCCTGAGTGTCTTGCTACACACAACAAGTTACCCTGAACTCATGATCCTTCTTCCTCAACATACCAACCGCTGGGATTACAGGTGCGTATCACCATGCCAGGCTCTGGATCAGAGACCTTAGTATAAAACATGAAACTTAGAAATTACTACAGGAAAACAGAGAAAATAATTCAAAAGTGCACAATCAATGATTTTCTGAACATGGCTACAGAACTTTTAAGTTGACAACTGAACTGGACAGTGATGGTACACACCTTTAATCCCAGCATTTAGGAGGCCTCAGAGTCAGGCAGATCTCTGAGGTCTAGGCCAGCCTGATCTACAGACTGAATTTCAGGACAGCCAGAACTTAAAAAAAAAATAAAATTGACAGTTGAGATTACATCACATGCAAAAGTTTCTGTACGGCAAAGAAAATGGCTAGCAAAGAGACAGCTAAAGAATTAAGAATGTGTTGGTGGTGGTGGTGCACACCTTTAATCCAAGCACTCAGGAGGCAGAAGCAGGCAGAACTCTGTGAGTTCGAGGCCAGCCTGGTCTACAAGAGCTAGTTCCAGGACAGGCACCAAAGCTACAGAGAAATCCTGTCTCGAGAAACATACACACATACACACATACATACATACATACATAAATAGTGCATCTACACATCTGCTGTGGGTGGTGGTGGTGGCACACGCCTCTGAGTTCCAGGACAACAAGACTACACAAAGAAATTCTGTCTGGTTTGGGACATGATGGGGAATGAGGGAGTCAGGCAAAGATCATGAACCCTAATAGCTCCACTAAGAAGTAGACTTCAGTTCACAAATAAAGGGCAAAAACCAATGGCCCTGACCCTGGACGAGGTGGGGCACATATGCTGGGTCAACACCCCTTTACCCCTCTTGAGTGATGACCAAATAAAGACAAAGACTGGGACTTGTTCAGACTTGCCCAAGAATGAAGAAGCTATAGCCTTGGCCTACCCCCACTAGCCCAAACCAATTAGAAATGTACTAATATGATTGCCACTTACATAAGCCAATCCTAAATAGAATGGTCACACTGCTTTTCATATTCATGTTGCTGTTCTTAAAAAGAGCTTACAAGTCCCTCTCAGAGTCTTCACCATTTTGTACAGGTGTGTGTGACCCCATATACATGTGGTATAATAAAAATGCTCTTGCTGATTGCATCATGACTAGTGGTTTTTTGAGGGACTTCTCATGGAAGAGTTGTATACACTATCCATGTGCATATTCATATGGGTGTACACATTAACGTGCATATTCATATGGGTGTACATACTATCCACTGCTGTGGGATAATCCTTCTGTATGCCGTGAATATGTTTTACTCTCATTGGCTAATTATAAAGCTGTTTGGCCTATAGCAAGGCAGGATTAAGTCAGGCAGGAAAGCCAAACCGAGGACTGGAATGAAGAAGGGTAGAGTTGGGTAAGACACCAATGAGCTGCCCAAGAAACAGGATGCTAGAGGACAGGTAAAGCTGTGAGCCATGTGGTAATACAAAGATTAATAGAAACTGGTTAATTTAAAAGTAAGAGCTATTTAATAATAAGCCTGAACTACTTGCTGAGCATCTTATAATTAATATAAGCTTCTATGTGTTTACTTGGGACTGGGATGTCAGGACAGAAAAGCTATGCCTCTGCTAACAATCCATGTGCATATTTATACGGATATACACACTATCCATGTGACTAAGATGAATACTTTTGGGTAGGGAAAATGTACCTTCATGCCGCATAGCATATACCATTGTTTAGATGTTTTTTTTACTAAATGCATTTTAATTTATAATGTGAACTTTAAATATTTATCTCCAGCCAGACCTTACTTGGAGCACTTCATGTTTCCAGCTGCTTTCTTGGTTGTAACTAGCTTCGTCTTCATTCTAAGATGAATTCTTCAGAAGCACCTTTAACCCAGTAAGTAAATATCAAACTTGCAACCTTCCCCCAACAAAATTTGGTCCTTCTCTAGCATCCTTCATTGTTGTTGTTATGGTCACCACCTCAGGTCAAATATGAGTTTAGAGCTGAGCAGGTAAAGGCACTTGCCATATAAGCCTGGCAACCTGAGTTCAATCCCCAAGATCTACATAAAGATGGAAGGAGAAGATAGGCCTTTAATCCCAGCACTTGGGAGGCAGTGGCAGGCAGATCTCTGCGAGTTCAATGCCAGCCTGGTCTACAGAGAAAGTGCCAGGACAGACTCCAAAGCTACAGAGAAACCCCTATCTTGGGGAAAAAAAACCCAAAACAAAAAACAAAGATGGAAGGAGAGAACCAACTCCGTAAAGATATCCTTTATTGACACGCACACACTGTGGCATCTGCACCCAAACACATAGCACACACAATAGCAATAAATGAGTGCATGCTGTTTTCAACTCTTGTCTCCCACATCCTACCAGTCACCCAGCAACTGCTCCTCTTGCACCCATATCTGGTGATCTTCACTGGAAATGCTAAATCCAAGCATTCGCCATCTTTCTCAATTCTGCCATGGTTATCAACAGGTCTTCCCTGGGCTGCTTGTCTCTTTCCCTTGCAATCCAAGTGTACAGAATTCTCAGTACACTCTTTTGCCATTCAGCCATCTTACTCTATATTCCATCCACACGGGCCTCTGCTTAGCTCTTCACACTCTGAGGCCTCTCTTCCGAGAGTACCCCTCTCCCAACAACAGCACCACTCAGCTCTTCCTAATCTCATTACCACTCTAGTCTCAGTACAAACAGTCTCTTCAGGGTGCCTTCACTGACTCTGTAGATCTGGACCAACCACCTGTTATGCTGGCTTGGCATTCCTTCCGTTAGCTCAGTATAATAACAGTGAACATAAAGTAAGCAGCTTAACATGTCTATCTCTAACAGTCTAAAGACAACACCATTTTACTTACTACCTTATTGTAAAATAGTGTCTACTATTTAGGAAAAAATAAAAGCTTAAGTTGGGGCTGGAGAGATGACTCAGTATTAAGAACACTGGCTGTTCTTCCAGAGACCTAGGTTTGGTTCCGAGTATCCACATGGCGGCTCACACTGTCTATAATTCTAGTCCTGGGGGGATCTGATGCCCTTCTCTGATCTCCATGGGCATCATGCCTTCACATGGTACACAGGCACACCTGCAGGCAAAACCCACACACAAAATAAAAATAAATCTTGCTGGGCATCATGGTAGATGCCTTTAATCCCAACACTCAGGAGGCAAAAGTAGAGACAGGTGGATCTCTGTGAATTCAAAGCCTACCTGGTCTACACAGTAAGTTCCAGGCCAGCTAGTGCTTCTTACTAGTGAGGCCCTGTCTCTAAATAAATAAATAAATATATTTTTAAAGATTTATTTATTATGTATACAGTGTTCTGCCTACATGTCAAAAGAGGGCACCAGATCTCATTACAGATGGTTGTGAGCCACCATGTCATTGCTGGGAATTGAACTCAGGACCTCTGGAAGAGCAGCCAGAGCTCTTAACCTCTGAGCAATCTCTCCATCCCAATAATAAATCTTTTTAAAAGGAAAAAACAACAACAAAAGTAAATAAAACTGAACATGTACTGTTTTGTTTGTTTACTATTTGTTTTTGTTTTGAGACAAGGTCTTAGTATGTAGTTCTGTCTGTCCTAGATCTTACAATGTAGAACCATTTGGCCTTAAACTTGCAGAGATCCACCTGCCTCTACCTCCTGAGTGCTAAGATTAAAAGCCTGCACCACCATGCCTAGGTGTATACTACCCAGGTTCCATTTACGGCACCCACATTACACAGCTCACAACTACCTGTAGCTCCAGCTCCAGGGGGATCTGATGCCTTTGGCCGTTGTAAGCACCAGTACTCACCTGCATACATACAGAAACAAATACATACACATAACTATAAATAAAGCAAACACACACAGAAATGCAAGATTAAAGGAGAGGAAGGCATATGGGAAGGGCTCAGTGGCGACCTGGAGAAGGCACAGGTCCTACACATACTTACATCTCAGAAACTTCCTGATGTTTGTCCACTCACCTTAACCTCTAGAGACTGGGGGTGGCCTGAGAAGGCTGGGCTGCTGTTGTAACCAGATGTGATGCCAGAAGACAGGCTTCCACTGGAGCTGGTGCACAGGGAGCTAGAGTTGGCTAGAGTTTGTAGTTTTTCCTCTTCCTGGGAAGAAGACAGATAAAACTAGCTTCTGATAATACACCTGGCTACCATACTCTCTCCTCTGACCTTCCCTCTCACCTCTACAGTTAACCACCACTCTTCCCAGAACCTCCTGCCTACTTTCCAGAAGCCACCACTCTCCTGCTTCCCTACATCCCTGACTCCACACAGAAGCCTTTTCCTCTCATATTCTGGCCTGTGACAAATCTGGTCTGATGAGCTTGTAAAGGGAATATGAGCCCAGCTTTGGGTTGGAAGCAGAGCCCTACACCCTCCAAATGGATCTCCATCACAGGCTGCCAGAGTCTAAGATCTGGCCCAGGTTTCAGGCCTCTCTTAAGGCAGAAGATCACCTCATTCCTCACCTTCAACAGCTGGGAGATGATCTGCTGGCGGATTCTCTGCTTTTCTTGTTCAGTCCGCTCCCTGAGCCGATCTCGAGCCTGGGCAATCTCCACCTTGGCCTCCTCACGGGCTTGATGATAGTCTCGAAGCATCAGCTCAATGTCAGAGGGTAGGTTGGCTGATCTTGACGCTGGTTCTGGGATCCTAAGGAAGTATACAGGGTGGGGGGAGTCATCTTCTAACATGATGAGTGCATAAAGTCTGGTCCTGTGCACCCTAGCAGGCTCAGCAAACCTCCTGCTGTCTACAAAGTCGCCATTTTACATTTTCAGGGAGGTTTCTAGAAAGAGAGGAATGAGCCATTCTAAGACCCAGGCACACAGACTTGCACAACATATGAGTCCCTTTTGTCTAATGCTTTCTCATGATTTCTCTCTGTCCATCTTCTGCACAGCTATACCCCATTCCCTTTTATACATCCTATTTCCATTTGCCCTAGACTTCCATGTCTACCTCAGTTCATCCAGAAACCTGGAAAAGCCTCTGAGATGTTCATATTCCAGTCCCTGTTCCCACAGAGTCTGCAGGAAGCGGGCTCTAGATTCATCCTTACCTAGTGGTCTCCACCACATCCTTCCTCAGCTGCTGCAGGTATTCTCGGCGTCGGCTGGGCAAGTCAAATTCCCAGGTGGGGAGATCCTTGTTGGGCAGGAAGCTGAGTTGTTTCTGGGGACTGAGGCTTCGTGTTCGACGAAAGTTATGAAGTCGCTCAGCCCTCTTTCTCCTGATATTCTCTATGGTCTTTTTCTGCCTGAGACAAAATGTGATTCATTCACTGAAGCTAGTCCTACATGGCCTTCACCCTGAATATCCCTGAGGGGAACAAGGGCAGAGCTAACATCCTGTTAAGTTTCCTAAGGCCCTGCTTTACCTTGCCCACCCTCACCCTCCAGGTCCAGGACCCTTACCTGGTGTAGGGCTCCTTCCAAGAGGACATAGCAGGTTCTTGAGGAACAAGCACCTCCCCTGTTGAACTCTGCAGCACCTTCAGCAGGGCATCTGTCTCCCCAAAACCATGGTGCAGCTTTGCTTCTGTGAGTTCCACACTGAGTGAGGGTTTCTGGACCCCAACTTGCAAAGGGATGTGCTCCAATCGGAGCCACTCAGAATCCTGACTGTAGTCGTCAGAAGGTTGCAAGGGCCTTTGTGTTTGGTCTGCAGAACTGGAATCACACCTGACCCCTAGATTCTCACTGACATGGAGCCCTCCACAAGATTTATCCTGAACTCTATACCAGTTATCAAACTTGTTATGAACTGGGAGGTCCCTCAGGCTGTGATGCTGGAGATCAGGGGCCACATACACATGTGAACCAGGGCAAAGCAGCCCCACAGGTTGGCAGGCCTGAAGTGACTCTATAGTAGGCCTTTGAAGCCCTGTAGTATCAGAGATAGGACAAGGGCTAAGGGGCTGAAAACCGCTCCGTGAAGAAGATAGATCCAGGCTGGGCTGTGGCTCCACTATAGACACTGAGCTCTCATCCCCATTTGCTGTCCTGCCCTGCCACTGACTTGGCCTCCTGCTGTCCCGTGGACCATGCTCCATGGAAGTCACCTTCTCAGGCACAAAGCTATCATCTAATTTCAGGCTCCTGTGTCTTGGAGGAGGAGATGGCAGTCTGCTTTGTTCTCCAGTGCTGCTCGTGGGCTGAAGCTGCTGAAGGGCCTGCCCTAAGAAACTAACTTGGAGACTAGAGTTCTGTGGGCTGCATGGGGGGCTAAAATCAAGAACTAATTTTTCAGAACACTTTTCTAAAGGGCTCTTGCCTTCTCTATCCAGAGACCTAACTCTCTGAGAGACACCAGACTCATTAGTGGCTTGAGAATTATCCATTAGAGGTCTTGGGTTACCAACAGCAAGGTCAGGGCTGACGTTAATCTCCTGGAAATCAAGAGGATGAGCTGAGGGAGCTGATAGAGTCACGTGGACTGAGGGGTTGCTCAACTCCTGGGTGCTGGCACTAAATGTAAGGATTGGAGAGGAAGCCCTGTCCACCAGCACGGCATTCGAGGGGCCCAGGTTCTTCTGGGTACTAGGCTTCTGGGTGAACTCTGAAGTACCAACTAAGAGCCCTGAGTGATGGGAGATGCTGGAACTGTTGACCACTATGGAAGATTCCTCTGGCTGTAGGCTGGGAGGTGAGGAAACATCAGTAGAAGCTGGGGGGCTCACAAAAGGAAGGTTCTGCTCAAGATGGGCTTTCTGAAACTTCAAGTGTGGCGAGGGCACAGGAGGGCTCTGTGGCTTGTAGTGGGCACTTCCTTCATGGGGATCTGGAGATTCTGTTTCCTCTGCCCCTTTCTTCTGAAACACTTCTGGGACATCTCCCTTTTCTTGAACCACGGTGGTGATACCTGAGTCCATCACTTCAAGGATCACACTGACTTCCTGAGGCTTGACATCTCGGGCCTGGAAGGGCATAGGAGGTAAGTTTAGGTCTGTCTGGATACCCTCATCAACAGTGGTCTGAGTAGAGCCGTCCATCATGATGGCTTGTGGAGCCTCATCTGGGGAGTCACTCTTGATGTTCTGCTCCTTTGGGACTACATTTGGCTGTGAGAGACTCCCAAGAAGCTCAGAAGTGCTGTGCAGAAGCTGTGAGAGGTGGAGAGAAAGGCTGTGCATGCTGGTCCAGGAGGCCAGTTCAGAGTCTGACATTGTCCTGGCATCAGACTGCGCAGAGATATCGGTGCAACTCCAGTGGAGCCTGCTATCCAGGGTTTGTGTTCCCTGCTCAAAGGTATTCATCCTGGCCCGCCCCACAGCACAGCCTGTCTCAGATGGGCAGAGCGGTACGATCGTATCTCCTGCAGCTGTGGCACTCCCTCTAGCCAGAGGCCACTCACTCCTCAGACAGCCTCTCTCCTCAGAGGAGCCCCTGAATGGAGGTCTCGTGTCAGGATCCCAAGCTGAGGCAACTCCTTCAGATCTAGTCAAGATATGGGGCTTCTCCATGGCAAGTGAGGAACTCCCTATTTCCCAGCCTTCCTTTGAACTTTGGTCATTCTCAATACTGTTGTGCATGTTTGACTGATCCCCAGTTTTGGCATCAGTCCTTATATGGGAATGAAATGGTGATCTTTTGTCGTCCAGGGCACTATCCATGCTGGAACACTGAGCCATATTTGATGGTATTAGGCATTGGGGTTTCTGGCTACAAGAGTCATCAACTGCACTTCCAAACACATATTGCTTCCAGCCAATATGCACAGGTCCCTGTGGACACCAGGACAGGGCATGGGAATTTATGTCACTAGAACCAAAGTGCAGTATTTCTTTGTCCACCTGAGAGTGCCAGTTCTCTGGCATACCCTGGACTCTCAGTTTATCTGTCTTTCCTCGATGGGCCTGTTCCAAAGTACCAGGCATCCAGTTAGTCATGAAATCAGGGGTTGGCATACATGACACAGTAGATGATGTTGGATAAGGAGGAATGACAGGTTTCAGGGGCTCGTGTTCAGTGGAGCTATTGTTCAAGTTACATGAAGCTTTCTGATTGCAATCTTGAGTCTTTGGAGATGTTGGCAATGGCTTTTCTAAGGAATGGCCCCTGAGAAAGGGGCTCCACAATCTCTTTGGCCCCTGTGCATCTTCATCTGTCAGGGAAGGAGACTCCACACTCAAATTTAATTCTTGAAGAGATCGAGATGAGCTGATCACACAGAACTGAGGCCTAGGGGAGCACCTGGAATGCTTAGTGCCAGAGAAGATTGCAATCACAGGGAGTGCGCGCCTGGGGCGGAGAGCCAGCCCTTCCCTTCCAGAGTCAAGTTGACCAGGAGTTGGGACAGCAGGCTGTGATGTGTCAGTTTGCCCCAAGGGCAGAGACGCCAAGCCTGCAAGGCCTGAAAACAAAGTCTGGGACACAGGAGACTTGGTTACAACTATCTCCTCTCTTACACTGTCTCTAGTATGAAAGCCATCAAAGCCACCTTCATTTGAAGATGTTAGATTTCTGACCTGGGCATGGGCTTTGCCACCTCCTGAAGCTTGTTCTCTTTGTTGCTCTTCTTCCTCCCACGAAGTCTCAATCTGAGGATGGCAGGTGTGTTTTAACCTGTCTCTAAAATTGGCTTGAGGACCCAAGCAGCTGTGACTCCTGACCTCAGTGGAAGGTTGTGTCTTTCCTGAGCAGTGTCTGGTAGTATTTTCTAAATATCCATACTGAGCTGCTATTACCGGTGTACCATCAACAGATCCTTCATTTAAATTTAGGGTATGTGGTCCCTGAGTCACTACAGGAGGTTCTGGCTTGGTTTGAGAGGCCTGTGCATTCTCCCCTACAGAGTTATTCTTCAAAGTCCTCAGTGGCTTAGAGTGTGTTCCTGCAGGACTGGTTGTATAAACATCCTTAGGGGCAATGCTGGTCTTCCCTGAAATGTTTTCCTCAGAACCTTCAACTGACCTTCCACCAGCAGCTACATGGGTGAGGCCATTTGCCTTCACTTCTGAGGTGAATAGGGAATAGTGGCTTCGAGCTGGAGCGGAGACAGCAGCTGAAGTGGATGGTTTGAGGACGCTGTTGTGTACAGACCCAAGTTCTTCATGCTTATGCTCCAGGTCATGTGCCAAAAACATCTGAGAGTCTTTGGGAAAGTTCTCTACTGTTCTGTCCACTTCACAGTCCCTATATGGAGCTATGGAAGGTGAGTGGACAGGATGTGGAGCAGCCTGCGGAGTTCCTTTCCTAAGGACACCATCTCCATAACACGGCAGAGTGGAGGCATGGGAGCAGCAGGCATGAACAGCAGTAGGTTGAGAACCACTTAGCTGAGGAATCGTTCTGTTCTTTTCCTCCTCATAAGATGAGTCAAGTGCCCTGCTACCTCTAGTTCTCCCCTCTAAGACAAGGCACTCATTTGGGCACAGACATGGCGCCTCTTTTCTAACTCCACTAAGATGCAGGCAAGGGATCTGATCTAGAAGTGGAGTTGACCTTGGATTCTTGTTGTCAGCCCCATGGGCTTCTGCCAGGTCAGAGTCAACATTTTTCCACTGGACAGGATGATGCATGTGAGCTTCTGCTTCAGCCTTCTTAGGAGCCCCTGGTTGAACAGCACATGGCGTTGGACTTGCCTTAATTTCTTCTAAGCCAGTAGAAGCATCTGAGCACTGGACATGGTATTTCTTAGGCCCTGAAAGGCCTGCAGAATTATCCACATGACAGATCACAGACTGACATTCATAATGGACTGCTTTTCCTTCCTGTGTGGTCACTAAGATTTTAACTGAGCCTCCTCTACATGTACAATCTAGACGTCTAGGTTCCTGATACTCTGGGATGCTGTCCTGACTACCAAAGGATATGCCCTCTGCAGTTTTACATGCAGCTAACTGACTTTGCCCATGCAGAATCCTGCCAGGATCATCACAAGAAGTTTGAAAAGGTAAGACAGACACTTTCTCTGATCCCACCCTCCCATCCTGCTCTACAGCTGGTATAGAAAGAAGCCTGTCTGAGGCCAAAGAATCAACAAAGGACAGTGTTCTGGATGTTTCTTTCTTTGTCTCTATGACTTCAGAAGGCTCAGACCATCCACTTTCTCCACAAAACTGTCTTGACTCTCTAGTACAATGTCTTTTTTCTAGACCTGGGATTATGTGAGAGGAAGCCAGAAAATGATGCCCTGGTCCTCTGTCAGTTTCAGGGCTGGGCAGATGCTGAAAGTTCCCTGCTCTGGGGAACATGGCTTGCACTTCCTTCTCAGCATCCAAGAGGTCTGCAGACACAGCAGCTGGAGATGCCACATGCAGTCCTTGGGCTTCATTTTCATTCCTGGTGCTTCCCCACCCTAACTTAACCATTTGCTCCCGGGGCCTACCAGCAGCCTCTGAAAAACACCCTTCTTGTGAAGTCTCATAAGGAAGGACTGTCTCCTCAGTCATGAAGTCATTAAGCTGCTTCCTCTGTGCTTTTGCCTGTCTGATCTCTGCCAAGATAGCCAGGCATATGGATGCATGTATAGAGGAGTCAGGTAGCAGTGGAGGCTCTGGATCGGGCGCCCTTGGTAGAGATGTTGAGCTAGCAGGCTGATCTTCGGACTTCTCTTCCTTCTGCCTTTCCTCCTCACCCTGGTCACTAACTTCCTGTAGGAGGAAACTGACCCTCTTTTCAGCCTGCCTTGAGACCCTGTTCAAGAAACTGTTTTTCATTTCTTTTTGTACAGTTGCTTCAGATTCAGAACCCAAACCTTCCTGGATAGTCAAGCCTGTTGAAGTGACTCTGAAGTCCCCTCTCTGGTCTTCTTGGGGGCTAGTGCTTTCTGTTATCCAGTCCTCTGACTCTAGTAGAATGCTCTCTGGTATAACTGACTGATCATTAGCTCTCATGACTGTGGGCGTCACAGATTCACACCAGGCAGTATGTGCAGCTGAAGCATCCCCTATACCACTTGCCTGTGGGCTACTGCTTCTGGTTCCTCCACTGTAATCCTGATGCCCTACTCCAGTTGCCAAGGAACTTCTATTAATTTTCAACATTGTAGGCTCTAACATGTACTCAAATGAAGAGATGTCTTTGGTATCAGAGGCATGCAAACAGCTTCTTGGTAAGCTTGGAAAATCCAAAGGTTGGGTACCACTCAGTTCTCTATCAGGAAGAGGTGCAGAGAAGCCTGTCTGATTATGGAATGGGGAGACAGTTTCCTGGCTTGGAGTTGGAAGTTTTTGGGTCAGTGAGACCAAAGTCTCTTGCAGGTTTCCTCCCTTTTCCATGGCCAGTTCTTTAACTCTCCTGTGAGCTTTTGCATCCTCCAACTCTGAATCACTCGGGAGTTCAACAGTTTGGCTTTCCTGAACACTTCCCATAGTCTCTGGTTCCTTGAAACTTTCCAAGGTCCAAGTCCAGTCTTGGAAGTCTGATGATGTTTTTAGCAGCTCATCAACCTTCTCAGGAGAGCTCTCTACACTGGGCTGCAACGGCACAGCTCTAGCTAACACGTTCATTCTCTTTGAGTGAAGGAAAATGTTGCTAGGCTCTCTGAGAGCTATGTCCTTCTCCACAGAATCACACATGTCCCTTGCATGCCCATCTACTCCAGGTGGTGGGTGTGAGTATTCACTCTCAGACTTCCCCTTTTGTGTATGTTCCCTTGACCTAAAGGGGCTTCCTATGCTTTTCTGGACTTGGGCATTATTACTGATAGCACTGTTACCCTCCATTTCCCTAGCTTTACTGTCTCCATCGATACGATCCTCAATCTGTATTGGAAAAGATGGCTGATTCTCAAAGAATGAATGTTTTCCAAAACTTCCTGGCATCAGACCATGGTCAGCCCTCTCCTGGTCCTGGAGGTCCTGGAGCATAAACTCTGTACTTGGCATTTGAGAAGCATGAAGCTGCTGCTTCTGCTTGGATTCAATTTCTAAGATGCCAGTTTCCAGCTGCATTACACTCTTGATCAGCCTAGCCATTTCGTCGGCACTGTTAATGCTCTGATTCTGTCTCTCTCCCAAAGGTTCTTCTTTGGATTTTATTTCCTGTGACTGCCCACGAGCCTTGCATTCTCTAGGTTTTCTTTCCTGAGAGCACATGGCTAGATGGCACCTTTCACAGGTGTACTGGGTTCCTGGAAGACTAAACTCTTCTTGGATGTCTTTGGAAATCACCTCCCTGAGAAGCACTGTTTCATTCCTCCCTTCCCACCTGTGAGGTGGGCTCCCACCTCCTGTCATGATCACAGGGCTGCTTACTCGACTGGACTTCAAAGGAAGAGCAGTTTCCTCAGGTATGACCTTCTCCAGGTCTACATTGGTGATCTTACCAATGAAGTCAGACCTGGCTCCAGATGAAGACTGACTGTGAACAGCACAGGTCTGGATCTGTGGTGGGAGTGGGCTCTGTTCTTCCTCACTTGCCTTGGAATCACAGATGAAGAGCAAAGTCTTTGACTCAGAGCCATCAAAGGCAACACTGCAGTGATGCCAGGCAGAGGCCCCTTCTCCTTCCTCGTGGACTGAGAGGCTGTACTTTTTATTTAAAATTCTAAGTTGATTTCCACATTCACAAACTTTGAAGCTGGTAGAAGGGAGATGATGTCTGTTCTGAGCAAAAAAACAGTAAGCAGAATCATGGTTCCCTTCCTTTCTTGTATTTCTAGAGCATTGCTCCAGTTCTTCAGTAACTTCTGTGTCCGGATGAGTTGGCCTCCTTGTTGTCACCTGCTGAGACACATCGATCTTAGAATTCTGGCCTTGTGACAACTTGGGTAAATTATTCCTCCAGTTAGCTTTCTGGAGGACCTGATAGCTATGACCAAAGCCCCAGGCTTCCCTGGGGGGTGGGGATGGCACCCAGGCTTCCCTGCAGGCTGGAATCTCTAAGGCAGTTTCTGTCAGGGCATCCCTGCTTTTGGTTACATAAAATGTTTCCAAGGAAGGCGGCTGCAGAGAAGATGGGAAAGGACTGCAGGGAGCAGAGTGCAGGAAGAGCTCTGGACCTGACGGGAAAGTATGAGAAGCATCTGTATGTGCTCCATCTGCTTCCTTGGCATGCTGCTGAGAATCTGCCTTCTCCTCCAGCAGTGGCTGCTGACGACTGTTGTGACTTAGTCTTGGCTGAACAACAGTGCTTTTCTCAAGAACAGTCCCATCTTGGGGCCAATGATCTGCTTTGGTAGGTAAGATATCAAGATTGTGATAAGCCTTCTTCTGGAAAAAATACTGCCCAGAGGAAGTTATCAGCCCAGTGTTCCTGCTACCCGGAAGGCACCCTTCCAAACTGGTCTGTTTGACTTCCCATGCTTCTGTCATATAATTTGGTGTCTTATTTCCTTCTGTACAGGTCTGTGCATTTATAGATCCAGAAGTCAGTGATTCTAGGTCAGCCGAGTATGCCCCATTATAACTCCCTTTCTCGATGGTACTGAAGAGATCAGAAGCACTTTCTAAGTTGCCACTCACACTGTCATGCTCTTTCTCTGCTCTTAAGTGGCTGATTTTTGATATGTGGACTGGAAAGTAGCTGAAATCTAAATTTTTAGATACCCCAGGGTCAACTGGCAACTGAGTATCTACTTTATCAGAAGCTTCAGCTAGGGAGCTAGATTCTTCCTCCAGGCAGGAGAAAGCTGGCCTGGGCTCTCCCACAGCTTTCGAAACAGAATTAGAGAGTTCAAGGAGATACTTCTGCTGAAGGGCAGCCCAGTCTTTCTCATGAGTCCTACCTTCGTGAGCCAGTGAAGTGGCAGAGAGAGCCAACACACTTGACGTGTCAGAATTGTGCGATTCTTCAGAGATGCCCTGGTAGGTCATGTCAGGAATTTCTTTGTCCTGGAAGACACCATCAGCTCCTGGCTGAAGGAACTTTTGACTTTCACAAACTGAGGGCTTGGATATATCAGAAGCAGAGGTTATGTACAAACCTGAACTACAGGGTGGCTTAGTACTGCCTTGGGGCAGTTTGTAGCTAGGTGACAGGACTGTACCTGGTGGCTTTACTTCTTTGATATTTAGCCTGTGTCTAGGCATCTCATCATGGGGCTGAATTTCATGTACATCAGGACTTGGACATAAAGAATGTACAGTCGCTGAGGGGCTGCTGGGATTGACCTTAGAGTCACAAGAAAACCATGAATCCACAGATACCAGGGGGCTCTCTCTTGTAAGCTGCATGCCTTGGAGAGAGTTGGCTTGTTCAGGCAGTTCACAGTGGGGCTGGAACTCAGGGTCAAGGTAAAATGAATTGCTCTTTGTCAGTAAGGCATTAGGCCTGACTCCTGTTCTGTGGTTGATAGGGCTAGGCATGCATGTTGCCTCCTGGTCTACTGCAGGTAGGGCGGCCTTGTGCAAGTGCCAAAAAGTCTCTGTAGGCATTTCATCAGCAGAACCAGGGAAAGGTTCCTCTTGCCTATCTTCTCCCCGTTCTTCAGCGTCAGTCAGGCTGTCCAGGGAAAAGCTCCTTTGTGCTTGACCACATAAGGTACTGTCTGAGGGCTTCAGGAGGTGTCTCACAGAGACTAAAATTCTGGCCCTTGAATGCCCATGGTTCATGGTGGAATATTCATCCCCCGAGTCTTCTGGGGGGCTGTGGTACCCTTTCTCAACAAGTGAATCCTCAGATATTTGACTATTGTCACTTTCAGAGTTCTCTCGAGCTGGAAGATGCCATGTTCCCTGAAGATCCTCTGGCTTCAGCCGCTCCTTTGGGACTTTGGCATAGACGTAAGAGAGAGAATCCACTGAGTAACTGCTATCAGTGTCAGATAAATCATTGTCCTTCTCCCTTACACAATCCCTTATAGGTCTGGAATCTGTGCAGAAGGCCAGCGTGTCTGGATCCCCTGTGTTAGGTTGTCTTTTTAAAGAACTGCCATGAGGTGAACGAGAGAACTTTTTGGCCCTAGCTGCCAGCACCCTCTGATGTTTTTTTGATGCCCTGCTTGGAGGTGTTGGTTTGGATTCTGTCTGAAAAGTCGTGATTACTTTCCCACTCCCAGCGGCTTGCTCAGATCCACTGAGATAAGTAGAGTAGGCAGTGGTTTCCTTGGGAGCCTTGTAGGTTCCACGGCTCCCTTCTTTTTGCCATCCAGTTTGTGTGTTGCCAGCGGCTTCTAGTCCCTTAGCCCTTCTGGTCTGTGCAGCAGGGGTGTGGGTCCTTGAGCCATCTCTTGACTTTAGCTTCTTAGTTTCTAGGCCCTGGGAAGGCGTCTGACAGGACTGCTTACTCAATGACTCGATTTCCTGGCTACTGACAGACTCATGGCTCACAGTGAGACAGGTGCCTTGGGTAGAGACTCTCTTCCTGGTTGAGGCTCCCCTGGCAGGATAGCGCCTCCGGTCTGGTGGATGGAGGCTGTTCCTGCCCAGGCAACCTGTTCTTGGAGGGTAAGCAGTAGCCTGGGGAATGCAATCTGCTGATAGGGTTTTTTCTGGTATTTGGTGAATTGGGTCAGGAACAGGTGGTGACATGGTGGAAGGATCCCAGTTCATGAAAGCACTGTGGAAATAAGGAAAACCATCTCAAAAAAGTAATGTCCCCGACGTACTATCAACAGAAGGAATATGGCATTCCACTTAGTTAGCTCTGAAAGAGGATGGAAAGCAGGCCAGTGTCACTCACTGTGTCCTACAGTCCTCTGCTCAAAACATACAAAAGCAGACTGTTGACAACAGAACCCTGGCTTTCAGAATTCGCAGATGCATACTGTCACTCAACCCCCGCCCTCAACTGCTTTATCTTAGGAAAAAGTTTAAATGAATTCTATTTCAAGCAGTTGTCCATGTGAGGAAAGCAGTAACAATTGTAATCCTATAAAGACTCAAGCGGATAGATCTAAGAGGTAGTACCATCTACAGAACTCACCCACTCTGCACACTAATAAGAAACAGGAAAGGATGACTATAGGAACTTCAAAAACTTAACAGTAGGTGACAGTATATAAATCCAACTAGATCTTGATTTGAAAATCCAATTCACACTTGAAGCATCTTGAGAAAATGGAGTGTGACTCAGGTTTAGATTCTATCAAGCTATCAACCTTGATCTTGGTAGATATGATTTGGTAGGTATGACAGAATATTTTTTAGAGGTACATACTTAAAGAAATGGTGTTAAATTTATATGATGTTACTTTAAATACTTTGGAAGATAGGATGGTAGGACTAGAAATGAATGTAGTACATCTTTATAATTGCTGGAAATAGGTGCTGCATAAGGCTCTCAACTTTGTCCATGTTTAAAGTTTTCCCATAATAAAAAATTGGTTTTTCTGCCCAGTTATTTAAAGAACAAAGAGGTGAGCAAGCATAACAGCAACAGACATTGTGTAATCTTCTGAGCAAGGCCAAGAATACACAGAGCAGGACATGGGCCTCTACTCCAAGAAATCTGGGAGATAATATGCTTCCCACCCTATGACAGCAGAGAAGGAGAAAGGAGCAGAGGAGGCAGATCCAGACAGGAACCTGGGAGTCATGTGTCAGTTCAGGGAGGAGGTAGCCTGTGAGGTCAAGGAAGCCTGTGGAGGTAGGACATAGAGGAAACTGTATCTGGACAGGCTAGGTCTAAAACATACATGAAAATGAGGCAAGCTCCTTTAAAAGAAGAAACGAGCTGGGAGCAAGAGTGGCTCTGCAAGGACAAGAAACAGCCTGACTGTGAAAAGATATGCAGACAGGAGAGAAGCCTGAAGGACCAGAGGAGTAAACACCTCTCCACCTCACACATGAAGAAGCCCTGGGGAGTAAAGAACACTGCCTGGACATCTGGGTTAACCCCAGCTCCTGGTGTACATCGATGGTACCTGTGTAGCCGGGACAGGCGTTGGCTGCAGAGCCTTCGGAGGCTTAGAGAGCTGCAAGTTGTCCATCTGCTTCTATGCTGAGAACTTGAGCGTGAGGTGTTAGAGCTGGAGACCCAACTTGGGGCCTTGGAGGCACCATCATCTGGGAGCCAAAAGAGTGCCCGGAGCTGCTCCAGTCTTCTCTGGGTCTCTAGCAGCCTCCACTTCTTAATAATTCTCTTCAGCTGGAATGAGACCTTTTTCTGCCTGATGTTCCACACTGCAGCCTGAGAAGTGCGTGCCCGCAAGCGCTGCAGCTGCAGCACCCTCTTCTGGCTTTGAACCAGTGGGGATGTTAGAGCCTGAGGAACTGTTGGAAGCCAAGCATCAGGTGCCACAAAGGCCTCAAGTTCTTTCTCTTCTCCACTGTTGTCTTCTTGCTGTGCCTCCTGTAAGCTGGCTAGCCAGGTCTCTTCTCTGAGTAGCCACTGCTGGTCTGGGAACCAAAAACACCCAGAGAGAAGGTCAGCACTTTCTGCCTATGGCTGCCTAGACTCAGATATCTCCAGCCATGGCAGGAGCTGTGAGGAGTGGAATGGATTTGATAGAGTGGTGTGGCAAGTGAGAACTATAGGGCCTCCCTACTGAAGGGGAAGGAAAGGAAGATGTGTAGGCCTCAATGTAACAGTGGACAAGTGGGGCGGGTGGAAATGCACAGACAAGTGTGCCACTGGAGGGAGTCAGCAGAAGGTGCACCATTCTGAGGGGCCATAGAGCAGTCCACTTGTTTATTTCCAACCCCCTTGTGTGAGCTTCTGGTCTCTAAAAGAAGGGAGAGAACACCTAGTACAAAAGATTCCATTTTATCACAAAGACAACAAAAGCCAGAATACAGAAGTTTGGCAGCATGGAACTGAAGAAGGCAGGCGAAGCAGACACCTTAGACAAAGGCACCTACTGTCTTTTATCTGCTGACGGTTACGTGTCTGGTCCAATTCTGGGGCCTTCTGAACGCTACTCTGCCCTTCTACAGCCTGTTGCCTCAGATCCTCCACATAACATTGCTGTTGCTCAGTCTGGGCTCTGTGGGAGATCTCGCCATTTCTTGATGTCTGCTGGTCCTTGTCACAATCTTCTTCCAGCACTTTCCTGTGACAAAAGGTCCAGGGTCACCCAAGCAAATCAAACTCAGAACAAATGGGTGCGAGACTTAAGTCCCTCTGAGCATACTCCTGAATTCAACAAAGTAGAAAGAACTTCAGACATCTGGCAACTTGGAACAAACAGGTGTGTTGTCACAGGCAGCTCATGAAGTCATAGAACAGGAGCAGAGAAGGGTCATCAGCTATCATACTTCTAGAATTGTGGGTCCAGCAGAAACCCAAATGCACTTTCATAAGGAAATTATGAGAGTAAAACAAATGTTTTGTTGTTTATATTTTTTTTGTTTTGTTTTGAGACAGACTAACCCTATGTAGCCCTAATTGTCTGGGAACTCACTATATTGAGCAAGCTACCTTGAACTCACAGAGTTCCACCTGCCTCTGCCTCCTGAATGCTGGGATTAAAAGCAAGTTCAACCACCTAGCTCATAAGGAAATTATAAGAGTTAAAGGCACAAAAAGCACATGCCTTTAACCCTAATATTCTGGTTGTATAGGCAGGAGAATTATGAGTTTGAAGTTAGTTTTCCTGTCTCAAAAATAAATAAGTAAAATAAAAGATAGCTAAGTTAAGAAGCACTTTCTAGACTGGGGAGATGGCTTAGTGGATAAAGCATTTGTCACGTGAATATGAGGACCAGGGTTTGGATCCCAGAATACATATAAAAGCCAAGCAAGCATGGTAGCTATCTGGAATCCCAGCCCTTGGAAGGCAGAGGATCCCCAGTGCAAGTTGGGTAGTCTAGAATTGGCAAGCTTTGGTGTCAGTGAGAGGCCCTGCCTTAGTGAATAGAATGGAACCATTGAGAGATGCTGATGTCAACTTTAGGCACACACTCCAAACGTGTACATTCATGTATACACATACAGAAGCACTTTGTCCTTTAAAAGAAAGAACTGAAAGAATTAAGGGTTTCTGCTAAAATTCCTCCAGGAAATACAGGAAAAAAAACTTCAGAAATACTGGGAAAAAACTGTTAACCCAAAACATTTTGTACATATATTTACACATATGTAATATGTGTGCTTGTATTACGACTCCAAACCTGAGCCACAGTAATGGCTGAATTATAAACATAAACCCATCAGTGAGGCCTAGATAAACCCAGCTAAAACCCATAGAACATCAGAACCAAGAAGCAGAGTAGGGATCCATATATTCTGAATCCCCTGGGGTTACTCAGTTTTCTTCCCTGGGTGTTTCCCCAGTTCTCAGATTTACAACTTGCTTGTTTGTAGGAGAGCGCTCATTCCTTCTGGGGAAGCAGCAGCTGCAGCAATTCTGCATGGGGCTGCAAGGGAGACTGCAGGATGACACAGTGTAATTACCCAAGCTCCCACACAGCCTCGGCCGGAAGGATGCCTCTGCTAAGCACATTTTTCAAGTTCCCTGGGTAGGTAAAAAAAGAAAATAACTACACTACATGTCTGGATGTGGTACCAAAACCAAGTTCTCATTACTGGGCAGTCAAGGACCTATATCTAACGATGGTTGCCTTTCATCTTAGGTAACTCCAGCATCCCCTAGATACTGACTGGTCACCACCTATTGCCAGGACTCTGTTGTACCCTCTGCTCTCTCTGGCAGTTATCCTCTGCTATCTCAGGGCCTCACAGTCTGCAGCAGAATTTAGCAGTGTCTACTATTACTGTAGCAGCAGTGAGAACTTCTTCTGGGATCTAGACATTTAAAGGTAAGCGCCACACCCCCCAACTCCAAATGAGAAATGCAAAGAGCACATCTTGGAGGACAAAATTCCTTCCTGGTCCAGATCACTACTACAAGGAGAAAATGGCCAACTCCATCCAGTTTAGAAAAAGCTCTGACCCTCTGAAATGCTCCTCCAGGAATGAAAGAGGGACAGCAGCCTAGGATGAGGACAGCCCTGGAGCCAAGCCCAGGTAAGAGTAGAAGGAAAGAAAGACTGCCGAAAAATCCAGACTGGGTCATGCATTTTCCTCTGTCAGTTCTACCCTCTGGCCCCTTTGCTCAATCACTAGCTTGGGAGCCATACCACCTAATAAGGGCTGGCACCAGATACTGGCTACAGTAGATGGATAGGCCCAGCACAACCTATAGGCCCTCAAGCTGGTGCTGAAAGGTAGGGGCAGTCCATGTGAGAGGCTTTGATTCTGAAGCCCTTCACTGTCCTCGGATAAAGAACATCTACCTTCTTGTGTTGATGAGAGAACATGTCAGTGCTCATGGAGCTGAGGATCCTAAAGAGTTAAAAGGTAGGAGGAGACTACAGAGGGAGGACAGTGAGCTGTCTAAGACAAGAGGACAAGGAAGAAAGGGAAGCAGCTTTCCTGGAGCCTCACAGTCACTGGGGCCATGGAATGTGGATATGCCCCTCAACTCCTTTGGTCCTTATCACAGGATCCCTGGAAGGGGATAGGCACACTCTTAATTTAGAGGTAAGGAAACAGGGTAAGAGAGTAAGTGGCTGGCCTGAGATCACACGGCCTTTATGTGGCATGGCCAGGTGTCAGTCTGTTTGCCAAATTCCAATGCACCTTTCCTGTATCAGCTCTTTACGTTGCAGTGTTGTTCCTGATAAACTCTGCACTTTGAGAAAAACCAGGTCTTCACTGTCTTCCTAACAGAAACCTTACCCAAAACAAAGTCTCCTTCATAGCTTCCCCACAAAACAGGAAATCCTCTCTGAGAAAACAAGTACTTTGGCCTTAGATCCTAATTCTTTTTGGCCTGGATATCTTTGTCAGCTTTTTCAACTTGCCCTTCACTCCACAGGACCCCAAGACCTAGGATCACACTCCCTTAAACCTCTGCTGTAGCAAAGTTCAACCTGTGAGCACTCTGAGGGTGCACTGCTCACCCTGCCCCAGTCCAAACCCTTCCCGGTTCCATTCTTTTAGGAACTAAGAAGCAAAGCCAGGAGACTCCACTGATACAAGCAGCAGATTCTCACCTCTCCTTCCAAAGGACAGGACAGAGACCCAGTCTTGAGGCAGTGACATCTCCATCCAAGTCCAGCCATTCCAAAGAGCAACTGCTGCCAAGAGTCTCTCCAACCTGGGATAAGGAAAAAGCAGTGAGCCCAGTGGAGCATGCGGAAGCTTCCCTAACAGCCACTCAGAAATCACAGCCAGGCTTACCTTAAGCCTGTTGTGCCGCAGCAAAGCAGCCTCAGCTGGGTGGTTAAATCGGAACTTCTGTGCTTTCCCCAGGGTGATGACAGCTCCTTTGACACACAGACAAGAGCTCAGTCCATGATTGTGCTCTGAGTATATACTGTGAGATAAACTAATGCCTACAACAAGGTGATAATTTTGCTATGTATTAATTATACATCTCGCAGTTATAATCAGATAAACAGCAGGACACGTTCCAGGTAGAACAGTCAGAGACTTCATGAAGAGGCAGACTCTAAGTTCAGTTTCAGAGAACGGGACTTGAATGAATTAGTACTAAAGGCATACTGACACCAAGTCTTTATAGCACACTAAGAACTTCAAAAAACAAACAAACAAAAAACCAGACTTCATCCAATCCTGCCTTATGCGCCCATTATCTCAGATGGAGAAACTGAGGCTCAGATAAACAAGCACAAATTTCCACGGGTCATTCTCCACTCTTGGGTCTTAGAAGAAGGAGGATTGTATTAGGAAGTCTTCGGGTCTCAGTACAGAGGTTGGGTAACACATGATTGAAGCTTGCTTTATTGAGCTCTGTGGGGTCCTAAGGTTGAAGATGTCCATCATTCGTCCAGATATACACAGGGAGGTAGATAGTCCTACCTTGAGTCAGACGGCAGGAAGCAGTGACTTCTCGGCCATTGACTGTACAGCGTGCCCCTTGGGTAGGCCGGAGAATGACCACCCCACAAGTGCTAGTGATTGTGCAGTGGTCCCTCTCGATCCACTGGCCCTGAAGGACTAAAGAGGTGTGGGGGAGGGGTAACCTGAGTGGGGAAACCATTCAGGAGAGAGAATGACTCTTCCAGTTTCTACAAGAGCCAACCCAACAGCCGACAAGGAAAGAATACCCACTACCTGAAACCACCCAGAGCTCAAAGTCTCCCCCTGGATAAGCCTCCTCCTTCCAACTTCCAGACCCAAAAGCTGGCAGCAGAAAGAGAAGCAGACCCTGAACACTTCAGAGACTCCTTTTCTCTCCAAGACCAGTAGCAAACTTTTCAGGCACAAATGCTGCCTGTGTGTCAGACTACCTACCTATGTCCTGTTCCTGGTCTGAATCCATCCTTCCTATTTTTGTTGTCCCCTCCTGTGGGGAGGAAAGAGAGAAGATGTTTCACAAAGAATACACAGAGACACAGCCCTGCCCTCAGAGCACAGTCCACACTCATGTGTAATCGGGGTCTTCCCATGCCCATCTCAGCATTGTCAGAACCATTCCCAACTTCAGTCTGGGCTGTCCTGCCTTCCATCCACTTGCTCTGCAGTTCAGGAGGACAGAGGGAAACAGTAACACTATAGGAGTACACAGCACTGACTGTGCAAAGCCCAGCAAGTGCTGACAAACTCTGAAGTTAGGGAATAGATACAGCTGTTGGTCAGAAATTCCCCAGTAAAAGGAAGGGACAGACATATACTTCATTCTCATAGCAGCTAAGGTTAGTGTGGCCTGTGCTTGATCCAGGAGACTCAGAGACTTTCTATGAGACTTATGAATTGTTACCTTCTTGCTCTGCAGAGAAAGCATAACAGATGCCAAATTCTATGAAGGGTAAAGCACAAATAGGGGAAGATGCTTCTAGAGTCAAAAGGAACTGGAAGAGAGTAGAAGAAAGCACATGCAACCAGTGTTAATACAAGCAAACCACTGAATTAGTAGAAGACTAGGGCCTTTGGGCCCCAGGATTATGACAAATCTACTATAGACCATACACTCTATTAGGGCAGAGATGCTAACTTGAAGGCCCATCGTCACCATTTCTTAAGTAGATATTTGCTATGCCCCAGGTATTATGCTGAACATTTTGTATACATCTTTTTATTTGCTTGCTAGTTTTTTTTATTATTATTATTATTTTTTTGAGATAGGGTCTCTCTGTGTGGTCCTGGCTGTCCTGGAACTTGCTCCAGGATGGCCTCAAACTCACAAAGATCCACTTGCTCCTGCCTCCCAAGTGCTGGAATTAAAGGCATGCACCACTATCACCCAGCTTTTGCTTGCTTTTTGAGCCAGTAATCACTGTGTATCTTAGGCTAGCCTTGAACTCTCACCTTCCTGCCTCAGTCTCCCAAGGGCTGGGATCACTAGCATTTACAATTTTGCTTGGCTTTATTTAATACTTTAACACTCCAAATGCTGGTATTACTATTTCCGTTTGTCTGTCTGTCTGTCTGTTTTGTTTTGTATTCCAAGGCAGGGTTTCTCTGTGTGTAGCCATGGCTCTCCTGGACTTCACTCTGTAAACCAGGCTGGCCTTGAACTCACAGAGATCTGCGAGCCTATGCCTCCCTAGTGCTGGGATTAAAGGTGTGCACCACCACTGCCCAGCTTACTGTATCCATTTTATAGGCCAGAAATCTGAAGCTCATAAGGGAGTAAATTGCTTAGGAAACCCATTTGCTAAGTAGGAACACTGTGGCTACAGCTCAGGTCTCTGAATCCCTAGCCCTTGTTTTTTAGCCTCATCATAACACTACCCTAAGTGGGAAGTTTTCTAAGTGCCTGAAATCACCACTAGGCCATACTTTCAGGAACAAGAACAGGGAAACCTTGTAGGTTTCCCCAGACAACTTGTAAGAAGAATCCTGGGAGCAATAAAGTTCTGGTTTGCCCTATGCCTCTCTACCTCTCCTCCCTGAATACAAGTCAATAGTTGCCAGCCTCTACCAACACGGCCCAGGGAGGAGTCTGATGGCTGATCTTGGTTGTCGACTTGACTATATCTGGAAACAACCAAAACCCCAGCAGCTGGGCACAAGGTTTTAGGATCCAGCCAAGGAAATTCTTCTTTGAGGTGAGAAGACCCACCCTGTGGTGGTTTGAATGTGAATGGCACCCCACATTATCATTTTGAATGCTGAGGCCCTAGTTAGTGGATTAAGAAGTATGGACTTGTCAGAGGAGGTATATCACTGGGTTTTGAGGTTTTAAAAGCTCACACCAGGCCCAGTCTTTCACTTTCTCAACTTTTAGATCAGATGTGAGCTCTTGGCTACTGCCCCAGTGCCATACCTATCTGCCTGTCTGCTGCCTGATGGTCATGGACTAACCCTCTGAAAACATAAGGAGGCCCCAATTAAATGATTTTTTTAAATAAATTGCCTTGGGGGGCTGGAGAGATGGCTTAGTGGCTAAGAGCACTGGCTGTTCTTCCAGAGGTCCTGAGTTCAATTCCCAGCAACCACATGGTGGCTCACAACCATCTGTAATGAGATCTGGTGCCCTCCTCTGGCCTGCAGATGTACATGCAGACAGAACACTGTATACATAGTAAATGAATAAATTAAAAAATCTTTAATAAATAAATTGCCTTGGTCATGGTGTCTCTTCAGAGCAACAGAATAATAACTAAGACACACTCTAAATCTGGGCCACGGGCTGGAGAGATGGCTCAGAGGTTGAGAACATTGTCTGTTCTTCCAGTGGTCCTGAGTTCAATTCCCAGCAACAACATGGTGGCTAACAACCATGTGTAATGGTATCTGGCGCCCTCTTCTGGCCTGCGGACACATATGCAAGCATATACATAATAAATAAAATCTTTAAAAAAAAAATCTGGGCAACACCTTCTAGTGTCAGCCTATATCAAGGAACATGGAAAGAAGCTCCTTGGCTTTTTGCTTGCTTGTCCTCACTCCTGCTGGCAAGTCCATCTGCTCTGCTGCTAAGGCATTCCTTCACTGGTGTTACAACCTACTTCTTCAGGATTCCAATGAAGACTTAAGACCAGATGAGTCCCTGTGAACTGAACAACTATTGGATTCTTACTGGGAGGCTGCCATGTTAGACCAGCTGAAAGCCACTCTAATAAATTCCCCCTCCACACTCCCATTTTATCAGTTTTATTTCTTTAAAGAACCCTAACAATAGGTTAAAACCCTTCATATTAATTTAGGGACTCTTGATGGTAGAGTACAGTCCCCCAAAAGGATAAGGGCCACATACTATCATGAAACTATGACAGAAAGGTGATGAGCTCTCAGATAACAAGCAATGGTGACCTTTGGTTTGCTGTTCTTTTGCCTTTTTCTACAGGCAGTTGGTGACTCAAAGGCATTACAAGGTACCAGCCCTCTCTGCTCTATCCACTCTTTCTGTCCCACCGAGGAGCTTTCCAATGTGGCCCAAGAGAAAACTGCTGGCAGTGTATTACCAAGGGACTAGTTTCAGGTCTGTGATCAAGTGAGCAACTAAATAAAAATGTAAAGACTCTTGGATCACTATTATTTATAGTTATTTAAGCCACAATCCAAACCATAAAAATAATATGGGGATGGGGTTGAAGAGATGGCTCAGCGATTAAGAGCACTGGCTGCTGTTTTTTTCAGAGGACTTTAGTTCAACTCTCAGCACCCACGTGGTAGCTCACAATTGTCTGTTTACTCCCATACCAGGTGATCCAATGTCCCCACATTGCCTCTGTGAACATTGGGCACACACAGGCTACACAGACATACATACAAGAAAAACACCCATAAAAACACAGACATACATACAAGAAAAACACCCATAAAAAACACAAAACAAGAACAATAAAGAATATGGGTCCATAAAGTACAGAAATGCCAGAATTAGAAATTAACAAAAATGTCACTTCACTGGTCTACCGATGTACCAAGGAGCAGGGAGGCTCTGAACTCACTAAATGAGAATTAACAACCACTGCCTCTAGGTCTAAGATTCTAATGTAGCCATGGCTCTTCACCCTCTGCTGCTACCACAAGCTTTCCCACCTCACACCTCACTTCCTCTCCTCACTCCGGATTCCATCAGTGATTCAGAAAAGTTCCACCTGATCCCTAATCTCTCCCTATGGTTCTGAATGATGGAAAGATCTAATGAGTTTCTGGTATTTAGATGTGTTAAGGTAAATTAGTCAAGCACTTCTGCCTGAAGCATTTCACCGAGACAATGTAAGTAAAATGCAAAGCACACCAGAAAGTAAATTACTTGAGCTTTCCACCTGAGATGCTCAAAGGGCTTACTTATCCCGTGCACACCAAGGAGCTTGGCTAACATCTTTCCAAATATCCCAGACAAACAGCCTGATTCCTCCAGAGATGGCAGTAATGCACCTATCCCCTGCTTTTATTTGTTCTTTTAAAATGTCTTCTGTAGACATTAATGAGAACAGAATTGAAGCCTCTGTGAGTACAGGAATATTGGCCATGTGAAATGTGTTTGCCTTCCACAGGACTGTTCTCAAACAAAAGATCATTTTTGAAGGGGATAGGCAGGTTGTCAACTCTTCAAATTATCCATTTGGAAATGATGGCCAGCCAGGGCTCTTATTTGGAAAGCCTAGACTTTTACTTGACTTTTTCTAGATGAATTCTTATCATCACCCCCTTACCACCAGTTCCTTAGACCCTCCCTCATGTGTTCTGCTTCCTCTGTCTTTCTCCCCTTTTATTCTCTAGGAAGTGCTATGATGGAGATGGGGATGGGTGGGGGGGGGTATTTGTTCTTGTTGATTCCCAGGTTGAATGAAAGATAATGTGAGAAGAAAACTTTCTAGTCTCTTGAATTTGCCCATGTTTAAGCAGCCTGTATTTGTAGTTTAGAAGTTCTGACATTGTCTTCTTCAGACTCAAAGGAGCTTCCTGGGTCACCTTCCTGAGCAGCAGAGACTGCAGGCACATAGCACTCTTCTCAGCTTATACTAATTATATTTCTGAAGTTAGGATTCTGCTCTCCTCCTTGCACTCCTGTGCTCCAGGAAGCCAGAAAAGCAATGTAAGAGGTTCCATTCTTACCTTAACATGAAGAAATTCAGGCACAGAAATAAACAAGTTACAGGAAAGCATCGGTAGCAGTTGAAAACAAATAATCATTCTGATCTCTGGCTTCCTATAGCCATTTACACAAACCCAAACAAATCCCACCTTGTGGCTGGATCAGATTCCTGAGCACAAGTCCCAAGGCAGCTCTGAGCCCTTGGTCTGATCCCTGAGAACGTGGCTATGATGTCACTTTGGGCCGGTGCTCAGGAAGGGGAGCTGCACTGGCTTCCGCACCTTGAGGTGATAAAGCACGACCCCTGTGCTGAGCAAGTCGTCTTCCAGAGCCATCAGGTGTGGCCGGCTGGAGTCGATGGCCACCCGAGCCCTCCTCTTGTTGATGTCCACACCGTAATGCTCCATGATTGCCTGCCAGTCATTCCACTTCTGCGCCCACTCTTGAGCCAGCTGATCCATCTGGAGAGGTACAAGAGATGACAGACTCCCTGTGAAGTCCACTCTCACCTGTTACCCAGTCTTTTATTCCTCATGATCCCTAGAGAGGCCCCTGTACCTTCTCATCTGTGAGTGCTTCGTGTGTTTTAAGCTTTCTTCAATAAGCAAGTATTACTTTCATAAACGGAAGCTCCTTCAATAAATGCTTACATTTTTTCTTCAGTGAGCATACACTGTTCTTTTAACTAGAAAAAAATGAATGTGTCATGGTTTGGACATGAAATGCCTCACAGGCTCCTGTTTTAAAGGCTTGGTCCCCAGCTGGTGTCATTGTTTTGGGAGGTGACGGAAACTTAGTAGGTGGGACCTAACTGGAGGAAGCAGGTCACAGGAAGTATGCCTTGGAAAGATGTAGCATGTCCCTGGCTCCTTCCTGCCTCCCTTCCCATGTCCCAGCTGCCATGAAGTAATTACTTTGTTGCATTATGTTACCTTACCACAGGCCTGCAACTATGGATCATGGAAACCTATAATCTGTGAAAACTCAAAGCCTATATGTGATTGGATGTGTGCACTTCTTCCACTTCCATTGTTTAGTCATGTGTTCTGTGTGTGTGCGTGTGTATGCACATGTGTTACTACATGCAGAAACCAGAGAGGTCACTGGGTAACCCTATTCTACCTGGCTTTTTACATGGGTTCTGTGGCACTGAACTCAGGTCCTCATGTTTGTACAGCAAGATTTCTTACCCACTGATCAATGCCCTTAGCCCCAAACCTGATCAATGTCCTTAGCCCCAAACCTTTCTTCCTCTCAGGTAGCTCTAACTCACAGCAACAGAAACCTAACACAAAATGTTATTTCAATTAATTGATGCTTCTCAGACATCAATACTTACTTACAATTACCCTTTCTGCATCGTTTTTTTTTTCTTTTTGATGTTTTGAGACAGTGTTCTCTGTGTTGCCCTGGCTGTCCTGGAACTCATTCTGTAGACCAGGCTGGATTTGAACCCAGAGATCCACCTGCCTCTGCCTCAAGTGTTGGGAACGAAGATGGGTGGCACTGCCCATCTCTGCTGCTTATGTTTATGTGCTCCGGCTTTAGTATTCCTCTTCTGACCTAACATCTCTTCCCATATATGTAGCACTTTGAGTTACAATAAGTCTGCACCTGGCTCAAAGGTACACAAAGCACTGAGAAGAATCCTCCCAGACTGTATGGAACTTGACTGAAGACATGTGATAATAAAATCACAGCAATAAATGATAAAGTACTGAATAATTACAAAATGTCAGGAACACAAGGTTTCATTTCTTTTTTCTGCTCATATTCAGTCTCATTCACCCTGTCCTGTCCCTCTCCACTCTTGTGGGCCCCTCAGAGTTTTAAAAGTAAATGCATCAAAGCTCAGGTTAAGGAGGGAGGGACATGAGGGAACCATGTTAAGTTCAAGGTCTTCGCTCCCTTTTGCTAGAAACTGAAACGTATGCAGAAAACTTATCCTGGGAATAGAAGAACTAAGAACACTCAGAAAAAATTAGATTTAGGAAAGTAATTTTCTCATAAGGGAAATACTTAGGAAAATACGCAAAATTCATATACAAGTATTTAAAATACTCTAGCAAAATTATTTAAATTTTTCATTAATGGCTTTCATCTTCTGTTCACAACTCTCCTTGATGAACAGTCTTCCCTGCAGCACGTGCGCCCTGCCACTGTCCCAGGTCACTCTCCCGTTCCACGGCTTTGCTTATGTCATCTCCCTCTCTATCAGTCTTTCAAAGTCTAGCTCAAACCTATTCTCTGCCTTCCAGCACAGGACAGCTGCTCCAGAAATGCCAGGTATAATGATTTCTTCCTTATCAGACATCTCATGAAGCACAGCAACCTGTGTATCCAAGTGGCCTGTGGCCACCTAAGCAAGACTCTCGTATCCCTTGAACCTTCACATGAAGTGCTCAATCTGTGAATACGTGCTAGTTATCTGGCTAGAAAATTTACTAGATTTGTGGACTAAGAAATCATTTTTTCAGCTGGGCGGTGGTGGTGCACGCCTTTAATCCCAGCACTCGGGAGGCAGAGGCAGACAGATCTCTGTGAGTTTGAGGCCAGCATGGCCTACAGAGCTAGTTCCAGGACAGGCTCTAAAGCTACAGAGAACCCTGTCTCAAAAGAAGAAAAAGAATTAACTTTTCTAGGCTACTCATACTAGTCAAAGGAAGCTGTCATGAACCTGAGAAGATAAATACAAAGAAAGCCATTTACCACCAACTCAAGCCTCAATGGGAAGAAAAACGATCTCTGAACTAGACAGAGCCTCTCTGCCCCACCTACATGAGGAATACCTGGAGAGATTATACTGGAAAGTTCAACTGGGTCCACTCAACACACCCACCTTGTGACCATTCCGGAGGACCACCTCCTTCAAGCTTTCATCCAGTTCATCATTTAATGAGCGGACGTTCCTCTGCACAAAGAAGGGGGGGGTCAGGTCTGGTATTTTCTTGGTATCAACTACAAATAAGTTCCATCATTACACTTGAGAAGGATAAAGTGTAGATAAAAGTATAGACTTCACCACCAAAACTAGAAATAAGTCAGGAGCATTTAGTATCTGGGCTCATATGAATACAAAGGAGGAGAATTAAAATAAAATTTTCTTTAGAACCCAATTCCCCATATCTGTCTCCACAGACAGTAGGCCAGTAAGGCCAATGTTATCTAGACAAGAGCTGATACAAGGAGAAGGCATCCAGCTCATCTGAAGCTGCACAGAAAAATCAGGACATCCTTCTGCCTTTGTTCCATCCCTGCCAACTGAAAACATGAAGAGAGGGCTCAGCTGGTGGAAGCACTTGCTCTGCGAGTTCAGCTACCTGAGTAAAAACCCAGAGCCCAACATGAACAGAGAGAACCAACCTGGAAAGTTGTCCTCTGACCTCTACATGCATGTGTGCACCCCTGGTCACACAAACACACAATAACATAAAACTTGAACATCTGGAATATGACAAGCCCCAGGTGTTCATGGAACAAGACCATTCGTCATTAGAATATGGAAGAGTGTTGGCTGCCACATACCAGCTCAAAGCTCAGCAGCATGGCTTTCAGCCTATCAATCTCCTCCCTGAGTTCTCGGATGAGCTTCACACTCGCATCCTGAAACAAAGAGAACTCAGTCACCACTGGCTCATACTAGGTCCCAAACTGCTGTGAAGTGCTAGTTGGAGAAGTGTTATTCTTTGGGAGTGACTTCTCAGAGTATAATCCCAGGACCCACAGTATCAGCTTCATCCAAGAACTCGTAATAAATGCAAACTCTGGCCCCACCCCAGAAAGCAATTCTTGAGGGTTAGGGCTCAACCATGTCTCACAAACTAGTCAGGTGTTTCTTTTGCATATGAGCTTGGAAAATCATCACCTTAGAGCACGCCAAGGAAGCTCATAAACACTAATCCTCCTATATGATGACTAAGTCTGATATATGCCTAATCATACTGCCTTTGAAAACAGCCCCTACATGCTTTAGGTATGTCTGTTCCCCAGCTGTGTCCCCTGCCCTGAAACTTTTAATTGAATCTCCAAGAGGTAAGAAACATTTGCAATGTTCCTATCATTACTCAGTTTTCGAAACAATTTCTTCCTACTCCCAGTTTAATCCAAAGAGAAGTAATTTATATAATAAAATTCAGGCACAATTATCACTATCAATTAAAAATAAAAGCATCAAACAGAAGCTTCCAAATGACCTTTCTTAGAGTGACAGTCATACACTAGGGCTCTTCAGAGGAATGGCTGTAAAGAAATGACTGAAGGAAGTTATTCATAAAATTATTTGTTGATAACAGTAGAGAGATCAGTGAAAGACAGGGACTACATTGGGAGAAAAGAGTATCATTTGCAGAATACAAGTCAGGATGAAAACGATGCTCATTAGTGTTTTGTCAACTTGACCCAAGCCAGTCACCTGGTAAACTGGAACTATCAGCCTGGCCTATAGGTAATCCTGTGCAGTGTTTTCTTGCTTAATGACTGATGGGGAGGGTCAAGCTGACTGTAGACAGTGCCACTTCTAGGTAGTTGGTCCTAGGCTGTATAAAAAAATCAAGGTGAATGAGCCATGGAGGAAAAGCCAGCAAGCAGAGTTGCTCCAAGTTCCTGTCTCAGCTTCCCGAGATGATGGACTGTAATCTGTATGCTGTGGATAACCCTTTGGTGGAGTTCTCAAAAGGACATGCCCCATAAGTCATAGACATTGGAATATTTGATCCCTAGTTGGTGGCTGTTTGGGGAGTACTAGGCGGTGTGGCCTTGCTAGAGGAAATATGTCACTGTGAGTGGGTTTTGAGGCTTCAATGCCATTTCTAGCTAGCTCTCTCTGCCTCCTGCATGAGATTGAGATGTAAGCTCTACATCTACTCCACCATCATGAACGCTAACCCTCTGGGATCATAAGTCCCAAATAAACCCCTTCTTCTGTAAGTTGCCTTGGTCATGGTGTTGACCACAGCGGCAGAAGAGTGACAGATGCACCTTTTCTCCCAGGTTGTTCTTCTTCAATGTTTTACTACAACAGCGAAGCTAACTATGACAAATGAGAAAGAAACAGAGAAAACAATAAGGAGAACTTCAAACTGTGTCAGACAAGGACGTCCCATGAAGGCCTTACCTCGTTCACCTGTGGCCTGTTGATGATGTTTTTGGCGTTGGATGCATATCTCAGCGTACTCATGGTCTCGTTGTAGCTGGTGTGTGCAGGAGACACAGCTGAGGTAGAAAGACAGCTGAGAAATACACTGGTGGGCCCTTCCATCTCAGCTCTCATTTCTTCTTTTTATTTGGTTTTTAGAGACAGGGTTTCTCTGTGTAACAGCCCTGGCTGTTCTGGAACTAGGCTCTTGTAGACCAGGCTGGCCTCTAACTCACAGAGATCCGCCTGCCTCTACCTCCCGAGTGCTGGGATTAAAGACATGCACCATCACTGCCTGGCTCAGCTCTTAATTCTTGTCTTACTGCTAATGTCTTCACTGCAGGAGACACTCTTGAGAGACTGAGGAACATTAGGGGTCAGTACATTTTCTAGGCCCAGTACTAGCTCCAAACAGAAGCAGACCCAGCATCCCACTTACTGGCAACCATGATGGTCCTGGAGTTGCCTCCAAGGCTTTCCTTCAGCAGCCACGTCAGTACAGAGTCCCGGTAAGGGATGTAAGACTGCCTCCTCACAGACGCCCCTCCACTGCTGGTCCCAGACGTAGTACTAGGAATCCCACTGTCACCCCCACTGCTGGCTGCACTGCTGAGGCTCTGGCAGCTGCTGAACACTTGGGAGTTCTGGGCTTGATAGATTTAAAAAAAAATACAGAAGTAGAATACAGAAGGAATTATGGAGCAAATACACAAACAAAACGACTGCAGAACTTAGAGCGAGTATCATACTTTTCTGCACGTGACAGGAGGCTTCAAGTTTGAGTTTACATCAAACCCAGGATATGGACTGTTTCAACGTGATTCTAGAATGATGGCCACTTGTATTATAAAACCACCAGGTTTTCATGCTCAAACCAAAAAGTGACCTTATCGAAAAATAATCTTGTGTTACCCTATTATGACAAAATAAAAATACTATGAGTTGTCCCAAAGTCTCCCTCCCCACTCCAACTACCCCGAGTCCATCAGTAAAATACCTAAAGTGGAGATGACAATTCCCAGAGTCACAAGGGACTTGTTGATATTGGCACCTTCAGTAATCCGGTCCTTGCAGTAACTGGGATCTGCTCTCTCACTAAAACAGACCAATAAAAGTAAAAATGATAGCAAACAGGACATTATCCTACAATGTTTTGGGCGCATCATTTTGTAATGGACCCATAGAATCAGTTTCCCTTATGTAACTCTTTCCTGTGTCACTATCCTCAAAACTTTTCTTCTTTCTGGATGCAAGCAGAAGCAGATCCAGCATCCCACTTCCTGGCAACCATGATGGTCTGTAGTTGCCTCCAAGGCTCTCCTTCAGAAGTCAGGTCAGCAGAGTCCTGGTTCAGGATGTAAGACCATTAGACTACCTGCCTCCACACAGGCCCCCTCTGTATCTTGCTCATCATTTTTTTTTTTAAGGGGGAACTGCCAGAGCACCCGAGGCCAAACAATGCCCATCTACAGTACTGATGATAGCAGTCTCTCACAGGTAAAGATGTCCATCTATCTATGGTACTGATGATAGCAGTTTCTCACAGGTAAAGACTTGGTGTAAATTCACATTTTGACGGTTTAATGATAGTATCTGTGCATAAACTGTCTCAAAATTCTACCCCTCTTTTTAGTTTGTTTTTTAAAACAGGGTCTCGTTATTTAACACAAACTAGCCAGGAACTCACAGAGATCAACCTGACTCTGCTTCCTGGGTGTTGGGATTAAAGATATGTAACCATCATGCCCACCTCAAAAATCCATTCTTAGAGTAATGAAAAGTAAGACAGGCCTTAGCTTCCTCAGCCCCTCACCCCATTGCTGTGCTAGGGCTAAACCCTGGCCTTAGTGCATATTAGATAAGAGCACTCTACCACTGACAGCCCCCAGCACCCACCACACCTTCACGCTTGGTTCTTAACAGAGTGCTGTTAGTTACTGTTTCTTTTGAAATTCTAAATTGAGAAAATTTGCCTTAAGTTATCATATACTGTCTAATGACATTATTTTCAAATTTTTCTTCTTCCTGAATACATATTTAGCTATAATATAAATACAGTATGAATATTTACTTCTAATAACTTAAAGCACAGTAGCTTTAAAAAAAACTGCACCATGTGGTGGTGGCGCACGCCTTTAATCCCAGCACTCGAGAGGCAGATGCAGGTGGATCTCTGTGAGTTTGAGGCCAGCCTGGTCTATAGAGTTCCAGGACAGCCAGGGCTACACAGAGAAACCTTGTCTTGAGAAAAAAAAAGGCAGAAAAAAAAGTAAAGTAGTGTATATAGCTACATAAAGTTGATACTAAATCAATGGAAAAAGTGCATTAATTCAGTTTACTTCGTAGGACAGTTGTTTCTAATTCAGGCTACACACTGAGATCAGTGTAAACACAAGTCTTTTCCTCACCCACACAATCACCTCATTATTCTGATCTGAGACGTGAACGTCAGGAGGTGTTCTTTGTCAAAAAAGACAGGGCTTCTCTGTGCAGGCCTGGCTGTCCTGGTACTCGCTCTGTAGACCAGTCTAGCTTCAAGCTCAGAAACCCACCTGCTTCTGCCTCCCAAGTGCTGGGATTAAAGGTGTGCGCCACCACCACCTGGTGTGCTTGGGGAGTTTTAAAAGACTAAGAACCCAGGATATGGAGGAATTTCCCAGTTCCTGACTCACTGTAACTTTCAAGCTAGCATTCAAGAATACCTTCTTTTATAATCTCAGGATGATTAAAACATTCAAACAAGGCAAAACTCAGGACCATGCCTATCTCATGTAAGGTGGTCAAGAAGCAGGTCTCTGTCAGGGAGCAATAATTCTCCCTGGCTTTGAAATCCCAATTACCTGCCTGCTAGGTCCACAAGGTTGATCTTGCTGGCAGTCTCTGAGGGGAGGTTGTTCTGTAGCATTGTCTAAAAACAAAGACCATTTCAAGTTTTCATTCAGAATTATCTGCATTCCCCCCACCCCGGGATACTGTCCCAACCATGTGCCAAGTTCCACATCAGATGAGCACTGTGTGATAAGCATCACTTCACTGAAAATACCAGCAACTTACAGTGCACAAGGAAACTCCACAGGGTCCTGTGTGGTTTGAGAGGCACTAGGAATGTTAACACAACTCATCAAGCAAGTTGGTTGGCTGCTCTGACTTTCAGCAGCAGAGCCACACAAGGCGATAGCATTGGTCAGGCCTATTTTTCTGCCCCGACACAGCATGTTGTCTGTCTAGTGCAAGAATGACTTAACATGCCCTGTTCAGGAGCACTAACAAAACTGTTTCTCTCTCTCTCTCTCTCTCTGCTTCCCCTAACCCAATGAGAGTTTGTTTTATATTTTTGTTGTTGTTGTTGTTGTGTTTTCTGGACAGGGTTTCTCTGTGTAGCCATGGCTGGCCTGGAACTCACTCTGTAGACAAAGCTAGCTTCAAACTCAGAGATCTGCCTGCCTCTGTCTCCTGAATGATGGGATTAAAGGCATTTACCACAGTGCCTGGCTTGTTTTCAAAATATATAAAAGATTTATTTTAGTTTTTAATTGTATGTGTGTGTTTGTGTCTCTCTGTGTGTATGGATGTGAATGTAGGTACCAGAGGAGGCTAGAAGGTGTTAGATCCCCTGGAACTGGAGCTGCCTGACTGTGGTGCTGGGAGTGGAATTCAGGCCCTGTGCAAGAGCAGGAAATGCTCTTCACTGAAAGCCATCTTTTCAGCCCTTTTATAAAACTTTAATGTTGTGCCTTCGTCGTCAAAATAGAGTTTTAGAGGACTGGAGGAATGGCTCAGCCATTAGAGGCGAGACTCACAACCAAAAATATGAGTTCAGTTCCCAGCACCCACGGCTGTCCCTCCAGGTACCAAAAGGAAGAAAAATAAAAAATAAAAAAATAAAGTTTTAGAATATTTTCAATTACTCCCTATTTCTTTCAACTGTGTTTGGAGTTAATCGTCACTCCTATCTTCAGCTTAAGTAATCATTATTCAAATATATATATGCATGCCTTTTGGGATATTTCCTAAAACTGGAATCATACAATATCTGTGCTTCTTTGACTGGGTATAATTTTGAGACTCAGATACACTGAAGCACGTATCATTAGTTCATGTTTACTGAGTATTTCACTGTATGGATATATCATATATATCATGGGAATCAATTTACTTCTCAAAAGACAATGGGCATTTACAGTTTTGAGCAATTACAAATAAAGCTGCTGTAAATATTTGCATACAGGCCTTTCATGGGTTTGACTTCTGGTCTGTTGGCTAGACAGATACCTAGGAGGGAATGCTGCCTGGGTCACATGACTAGATATTATTTAACGTTTTAAGAAACTATTGATCTTTCAGGGTGGTAGAGGCACACACCTTTAATTCCAGCATTTGGGAGGCAGAGGAAGGCTGATCTCTGTGTTTGAGACCAACCTGGTCTACAGAATAAGTTTCAGGACAGTCAAGGCTACACTGAGAAACCCTGTCTCAAAAAACCAAAATCAAAAACAAAAAATTATCTATAATCAGAGGAAGTGTTTCATTAGTGTTTTATTATTTTTAATTTGTATTCCTTTGGTGATGACTATTTTCCTCAATTACTTAATGCTATCTCTAAAGCATCAAGCTTGATGTTCTCCTGCTTCAGCCTCCCAAATGCTGGGATTAAAGTCAAGCACAACCATGTAGTTTGTTTTCTTTCTTTCTTTTTTATTTTTGGATTTTCTATTTTTTATTATTTATTTATTTATTTATTATGTATACAATATTCTGTCTGTGTGTATGCCTGAAGGGCAGAAGGGGGCACCAGACCTCATTACAGATGGTTGTGAGCCACCATGTGGTTGCTGGGAATTGAACTCAGGACCTTTGGAAGGGCAGGCAATGCTCTTAATCACTGAGCCATCTCTCTAGCCCCTTATTTTTGGATTTTCGAGACAGGGTTTCTCTGTGGCTTTGGAGCCCGTCCTGCAACTAGCTCTTGTAGACCAGGCTGGCTTCAAACTCACAGAGATCCACCTGCCTCTGCCTCCCAAGTGCTGGGATAAAAGGCAGGCACCACCACCGTCCGGCTACTTTCTTTTTTAAACTAAAAACTTTATTTTTATTTTGTGTGCATTGGTGTTTTGCCGGCATGTCTGTCTGTGTGAGTGTGTTGGATCAGAACTGGAGTACAGACAGTTGTGAGCTGCATGTGGTCGCTGGGAATTGAACCATGTCCTCTAGTTGAGCAGTCAGTGTTCTTAATCACGAAGCTGTCTCTCCAGCCTGCAGTTTATTTTCTTGAAACAGGGTTTCATGTACCCCATGCTGATCCCCTTGCTTGTACCTCCCAAGTGTTGCAATTACAAGTATACACTACTATATCTTATTGTTTTTGTTTTTCTGTTTTAAATTTTTAGATACAGGGCCCCATGTAACCCAGGCTCGTCCTGAAATTGTTATAGTCCAGGCTGACCTTGAATTCCTGATCCCTCTGCTTGTACCTCCCAAATACTTCCATGTTTTGATTAAGACTTTTAGTCTCTGCTGATGGACCTATGCATTGTCAGGGAAATGCATTAAAGTTGAATGAAAGGATATTTCAGTGTTCATTAGCCACAGAGCCCACTTGTGCAGGTTCTTTCTAATCAAGGTTGTGGGGGTGGATTTGATCCAATCAGCCTTTTTTTATTTGCGTGTTTGTTTGTTTATTTGAGACAGGGTTTCACTGTGTGGCCCTAGCTCTGTAGACAAGACTGGCCTCGAACTCAGAGATCCACCTGCCTCTGCCTCTCGAATGTTGAGATTAAAGGCATGCACTGCCTAGCCTAATTAGTTTTTTTAAAGAAAGATTTATTTTATTTTAATTTATGTTCATGGGTGTGTTTGTATGTGTTGTGTGTCTGTGTATTATGTTCACATGAATGCTAGTACCCAAGGAGAAAGCTGGGTCCCCTGAAGTTACATGTGGTTGTGAGCTGCCTGATGTGGGTGATGGGAGCGGAACTCTGTTCTCAGTGACAGTAGGACCACCAAGCCATATTAACTAGTTAAGCCACTTAACTATCTTAAACACTGAGCTATCCTTCCAGCCCCATATGTCCAAGCCTTTCCTGTATATATGCACAGCTTCTAATACCTAGGACATCCAAAGATACTGTTACATCTACTATCCCTGTATCATCTCTGAGAATCCCCTGTTAAATCCCAAGTGGCAGTTTATGACTTACCTGAATAGGATCCACATTCCTGGCTCCCCCAAGGTACCCACTTTAACTGACTGCACAAAATCCAGTGAACCACTCTGAAGGCAGTGAAAGCCATTGCTAATCTTTAAGTCTTACCTTCTGTAAACGAATGTCTTCACTAGGGCAACTGGAGATGTGGACGGGCATGGGAGAAACCAAGACAAGAATAGCATACACCTGTGCTGTTTCTCTTAAATACTGTACATCCCAGGAGCACACTTTTTAATATGCCTCCAGTCTCTCAGAGCTCAGAAACAGTTTGTCCTGCTTTATTTGCCTTTAGAAACTAAATTTTTCTGTCTTCTCCATCATATTGGAAGTGAATTTATGCTTTTTTCATTTTAATGCTCATTTTCATTTCAACCTTGATTTTAATTTCAGACAGACCCATAACTGACTAATAAGTGTGGACATATTCTGAACCGTTATGAGCAAAAGATAAGCAGAAGACAGTGAAGAAGTCAGTTGTATCAGAGAACATGTAAGCATAAAGGCAGGAGGAAAGAAAGAAAGGAATACAAGAAAGTAACCACGAGGCATAAGATAGAAATCAGTAGAACAACCCACCTGTGCGTAGTGGATAGTGAAAATGGCATGAGATCTGCTGCTGGCCTCATGAACATGGGTGGCTGCTGTGATCCTGTGTATACAAGGCAAGACAGTTAGTACAGGACTGTTTAAGCATGGTGTACCTAAGGGACCCATGTGAACATAATACATGTTAGGACTGAGGTTAGTGAGATGGTTTAATGAGTGAAAGCACCTGCCACCAAGTCTGACAACCTGATTTCAATCCTAGGACCTACATGGCCATGCACAACCATCTGTAATTGCAGGCCTAGGGATCAGATACCCTCTTCTGGCCTCTGTGGGCATAGCACACATGTAGTGCACATACATTCCAGCAAAATAATCATCCATATAAAAGTGAATACATTTAAAAAAGAAATTCAAGTAGTCCAAAGAAGGCAGACGCAGCACTCTAGGTGCTGTTACTGACAATAACAGGGAGAGTGGTGTCACACTAGCTAACATTAAAACAGTTTTGAAAGTATAAAAGCAAAAATCCAGAGTGTGGTGGTTTGAAAGAAATTGGCCTCTAAAGAGAGTGGCATTATTAGAGGTCTTGTTGGAGGAAGTGTGTCACTGTGGGGGCAGGCTTTGAGGTCTCTTTTGCTCAAGTTTCCCTCAGTGTGATTTTCAGGTAACTTCCTGTTGCCTGCAAGATGTAGCACTCTCAGCTGCTCCAGCACCATGTCTGCCTGCACACCACCATGCTCCCCGCCATGATGATAATGGACTGAACCTCTGAAACTGTAAGCAAGCCACCCCAATTAAATGTTTTCTTTAGAAGAGTTGCCGTAGTCGTGATATCTTTTCTCTACCTCCCTATGCCGGGAGGTAGAGTCAGGAAGAGCCCAGAGTGCTTGTTAGACAACAGGTCTAGCCAATCAGTGAGTTCCAGATTTGCTGAGAGACCCTGACTTAACACTAAGGTGGAAGGCAGTAGAGAAAGATATCTAACATTTACTTCTATATATACACATACACAAATACATAAATTAATAAACAAATACATATTTAAAAATCCAACAACCACACATACAGAAAAAAAAAGTGTGGTGTAAATGTGCTTCAAGAAGCCTCACAGAGAGCTAAGAAAGCAGAATATTCATCCAGCAGCGCCAAAAAGCCTTTGGGGCTGAGATCTTGAATTACACTGATGCCATGTTTAAATGAGGAGCTCACAGCTACTCCTGGAAATCCATCCCAGTATTAATCCCAATAATCACTGAGTCTCCCCTTTATCTAAATCTAGGTCAATGATCCTTCTGTTTAAAACTATCCCACACCATTTCACTGTCTTCTCCAGGGAATAGAAAAAGGCTAAAAAATCTAGCTGGGCAGTGGTGGTGCATGCCTTTAATTCCAGTACTCAGGAGGCAGAGGCAGGCGGTTCTCCGTGAGTTCAAGGCCAGCATGGCGGACAAGAGGTAGTTCCAGGACAGGCTCCAAAGCTACAGAGAAACACTGTCTCAAAATTTGAGGGAAAAAAAGAAAGAAAAGAAAAAGGAAAAGGCTAAAAAAAAAAATCTAAGGATGCAGAAAGTTAGGCAAATCTAATTCTTCTATCTCTTGTTTGTTGGCACTGTGAATTAGACCTAGGGCTCGTGCTAGACATCCAGCTCCTACTCCCTCATACAGCTCAGGCTGGCCTCAAAGTGTGTAGCTGAGAATGGCTTTGAACTTCTGATGCTCCTACTTCCGCCTCTGAGTGTTGGGATTACAGCTGTGCATCATCACACATGGCTTTTACAGTGCTAGGGGTCATTCCCAGGCAAACGCTATACCAACAGAACTACATCCCCAGCTCCTCAAACCCCTTTTCATTAATTTTTTCAAAAAATTTTCAGATTTATTTATTTAATTATTGTATGTGTAAGAGTGTTTTGCCAGTATGTATGTATATGTACCACATATATACTGGTGTTTGAAAAGGTCAGAAGAGCTTCAGATGCCCTGGAAGGGGCTGGAGAGATGGCTCAGTGGTTGAGAGCACTGACTACTCTTCCAGAGGACTCAGGTTCAATTCCCAGCGCCCACATGGTAGCTCACAACGGTCTGTAATTCTGGTTCCAGGGGACCAGACACCCACGGTAAAACACAAACTCACATTTAAGAAAGAAAAAAAAAAAGATGCCCTAGAAATGGAGGTACAGACTGCTGCAAGCCTTCATGTGGGTGCTGGAAATGGAATTTGGATCTTTAAATTCACTGCATAGCCTAGGCAGGTCTCAAACTTACAATCCTGCCTCAACCTCTTCAATGCTGGGATCATTTTTTGTTTTGTTTTGTTTCATTTTGAGACAAAGTCAGTCTCTCTCTCTCTTTTCCTTTCCTTCCCTGGAGCTGACGACCGAACCCAGGGGTCTTGTGTTTCTACCACTGAGCCAAATCCCCGGCCCCCAGCTCTGTGTAGCTGGAACTTGCTATGTAGACCAAGCTGGTGTTGAAGTCACAGAGCCCCACCTGATGTGCACCACCCAGCTAGAACCCTAGCTCTTAACGATTCAGGAGCTCAGCTTATCCTGAAGACCAGGCATATGCTCTGAGAGAATTCCAAGAAATTCTGAGACTACAATGTTAAGTTTAAATGTTTCCTTTGTTTTTTCAATTAAAGGACCTAGTATTAACAAGATAAATACAAGAGTTTAATTTTTTTTCTCCCAGTGAAAAAAGCTTCCGCCTAGGGGTTTAGTAGTAATATCCCGGGCTCTCAGTGTAGCTGAGAACATGAAGTGTTGTCGCAGTGCACAGCAGTTTCTGGGGCGCTGTCTCAGCTAGGTTTCCATGGTTGTGAAGAGACAACATGATCACAGCAACTCTCATAAAAAAGACATTTAATGGAGTTGGCTTGCTTACAGTTTCAGAGGTTTGGCCCACTATAATCATGAAGGGGAGCCTGGCAGCGTGCAGGCAGACATGGTGCCGGAGCTGAGAGCCCTACATCTCAACACAGAGGCAACAGGAAGTCCACTGACTGTCACATTAAGCTAAGTTTGAGAAAAAGACCTCAAAGTCCACGCCCACAGTGACACAGTTCCAACAGGTGTGGCCCATTCCACCTGGAGGTCTGGATTAAAGGGATGTGTCACCCAGCCTCCTCCAACAAGGCCACACCTCCTAACAGTGTCACTCCCTGAGTTTATAGGGGTCTGAAAACATTCAAACTACCAAAGGCACTTAAGTTACTCTTCCTAGTTTCATATGCCTATAACCTTACAATGCAGAAAGCTAGAAGAAAAGTTTCATGAATCATTTTATGCTATATTCATCTTTGCCAAAGTCAGAGACGATGGTACTGCCCTATAGTATTATGTCCAGAACAAACTCCTTTGTGGACCCACACACACACACACCAAACCTGGTTTACCTGTTTGCTATCCCCTCCTCCAGGAGCTGTATAACTTGCTGGTAGTTGGTAACAACATGCTGAGATAGACCTGTCAGTTATGAGAGGAGAAAAAAAATCATAAGAAACCTGGTAAACTAACCATTTCTTGTAGGTTTTGTCATCCTTTTTATTTACCTTCTCCCCCATGTGAGCTGGAATCAGGCCCAGCATAGTGCACATGCGGAGTCACAGGACGATTCACAGGAGCCACTGCTCTCCTCCACCATGTAGGCCCAGGAATGACAAGGACCCAGTCAGTCATCTCACTGGCTCTAAACTTTTATTGTGTTTCTCTCTGTGTCTCTGTTTTTTGATTTTTGAGAAAGGGTTTCCAAAAACAGCCCTAGCTGTGCAATAGCCTTAGCTGTCCTAAAACTTGCTTTGTAGACCTGCCTGCCCCTCCTCCTACTGCCGGACTAAAGTTATGCCCAAGCACACTTTCATCTACCATTCTTATATCACTTCATAAGCTAGAATGGAACAAACAAATCAATCTGCATTGAAACCTCTCATCAGGTGATGTGATGGGTTCTACAAAGGCCAGCGTATTTCCACAAAGATTAGTTTAGAATTTACGTAGTGGCCACGCAAACCACAAAAAAAAATTCCTCACAGCTTCACTATGGAAGTTATAAGAAATCTCTTCCTCCTCACTTATTATTGTTGGCCCTAACAAAATTCCTGACAGGAAGGTGATATTTTATCCACAAGGCGGCAGACTCAGTTTGGCATACAAAACGTCTCTCTTTTACAGTTTACAATATGAAAGTATACATCACACTATACATCACACTACAATCAAATGCTACACAAGTGGAGGCCAAACAAAAATGCTGAGCAAGTTAGAGCAGCAGTGAGGATGGGTTCTGTGGACGCAGCAAGGATAGGACGAGCCATTACAGAATGGGAAGGTGTGAGACAAGTGGACGGGTCCTAAGGACGTGAAGAAAACCTTTATGGGAAATTTGTGCTAGAGAGCCTCTGCAGACTATAAGACTTAGGAACAAGACAATGGCATGGGTCTATTGCCTGTTGCTAATAAATGTCTAAAAAGAATGACAAAGTCATCTGAATTGTGACTGGATTGCAGCAGGGTGGCTGCAGTCGATTTTCTTAGCAACTTTCCAGGAGTGAAGACAAAGGTTGTAGCCCACAACACACCCAAATTGACCCCTCTAATTTTTGTTGGTTTTTTTTTTACTTTTTCAAACAGGATCTTGTTCTCCCCAGGTTGTTCTTTAACTCAGGACCATTCTCTTGCCTCAGTATCCTGAGTGCAGGATTTATAGATTAAATGCCTGCTTAGACATTCACTTACAGGAAGAAACCCAAAGGTCTACAAGATGAGTTAGAAGTAAATAAGCCTCTGCGAAAACTGCAGCTAAGCTTCAGTCTCACTCCATCGACTGGAACTTAACTTACTTCTTAATCCCTCATGTTCATAGAAACTTAGTATAAAAAAAGAGAGAGATACCAGTTCCTAAGAACAGGTTTACGAATACTATCTGGCACAAATCTTATTAGCAAACCAAGCATACATGTAGATCTGGGAATATAAATGAAAGATATCCAAGAAATATGGAGACACTGGAATTGCCAGAAAGATTTTAAAGCAACTCTGCCTGGTATTTTCAAGGACTTAACAGACAAGATAGTACAATTCCAGAGGAAACTGGGAAAGAATCAAGTGGAGGTGTGCTGAGCTTTCCTTCCTATTTCTAGAGAGGAGGGAGGGGAGAAAGGGGAGAGAGAAAAACAGGAGGAAAAGGAGGGAGAGGGGCAAGGAACAGTTTGAAATGTGGAATATGTAACACCGATGTATCCATCTGACAGTACTGCTTTATATGGAAAAGGAAATCAAGAGGGACATATTTATTACTATTTCCAGGCTGCCATGGGTAAGAAACACTTGGTAGCAGTATCAATGAATGACACTGGCCATCTATTAGCCATGCCTGTTCAGAAGAGCTCTCAAGTTTCTCTCTTTACCAGGATTTAAACTAGCACTTACAGTTTATGAGTGTTTTCAAAGTGTGACAGGCCCCCAGACCTTAGCACAACTGATGACAGGTTAGAGGCATTCAGGTACCTTGAGAACAAAGGCCAGTCATTCCAAGTCTATAGTTCCAGTAAAGTCACCAAACTATGCTTGCTTCTTGGCTTTGTAGTTCCTCTTCAGGCTGACTATTCTTGCTCAGGTATGACAACCCAAGATGTATTTGTGTGTGTGTGTGTGTGTGTGTGTGTGTGTTTAAAAGCTCACCCTGAGAAAGGTTCGGGAGTGCACTCGGGTCCTGAATATCTAGTGTAGCTGCCTCCTGGCTAATCAAGACTTTCTATTGGCTTGAACCTATGCCCAAGTGGTCTTCTCTAGTAGCTACCTCACAACAAAAGGGAACCATCTTCCTCTCTGAAAGAGCATACTAACCAGGGGGTGGGGTGAATGGGTGGATTGGAGGGAGATGCTGGTGCACACCTGTAATCCCAGCACTTAGGGAGCAAAGGCAGGTGGATCTCTGAGTTCAAGGGCAGCCTGGTCTACAGAGTGAGTTTCAGGTCAGCCAAGACAGCCAGGGCTACACAGAGGAACCCTGACTGGGAGAGGGGAAGAAAGAAAAGACCCCTGGAAGATGGGAGATGTGTGTGTCAAGGGAAGCTTTTCTGACAGGTATCAATTGACACTAAGCCTGAAGGGCTCACAGGACCCAGTCCTGGGAAGATGAGCAGAGTGAGGGTAGGTACGTCTTATAGGGAGAACAGCAAACTAAAGCCCCCAAAGTCCCTTGGTATTTCTGTGTAGCCCTGGCTTCTTGGCTGTCCTGGAAATCACTTTGTAGACCAGGCTGGCCCCAAACTTACAGAGGCCTGACTCTGCCCCCAAATGTTGGGATTAAAAGTATATAGCAGGGCTGGAGCGATGGCTCAGTGGTTAAGAGCTTTGCCTGCTCTTCCAAAGGTCCTGAGTTCAATTCCCAGCAACCACATGTGCTCACAACCATCTGTAATGAGATTTGGTGCCCTCTTCTGGCCTGCAGGGATACATGCAGGCAGAACACTGAATACATAATAAATAAATAAATCTTTAAAAAAAAAAAGTATGTAGAACAACTGCCCAGCTCCATGAGTCTTTTCTTTATTTCTTTTTCTTTTCTTTTTTTTCTTTTTGCTTTGTTTTTGTTCTTCAAGACAGAGTTTCTCTGTGTATCAGCTCTGGTGGTCCTTGAACTCACTCTGTAGATCAGGCTGGCCTCAAACTCAGAGAGATCTTCCTGCCTCTGCCACCTGGCTCCAGGGTTCTTTTCAATCACTGTATCTAGCTACTTCTTTTGAATCCTTTATTACAATGTGTAATTGTCTGTCTTATGACACTTCCACCAGATTTTAAACTTGGCTATGAAGGCAGAGCTATGTCATGTCAGCTTATAAGCATACATCCAATGTCCAGTACGGTAAGCAGCACACAGAATCCAATCATTGCACAGGCTGAGTGAAGGATGAGCATTAGGAGAACTTCTACACCTCAGTTGGCTCTCCAATTTCCAGGGAAGAGGAGCTCACCTTGGACATAGGGTCCCATCTCTGGGTGCTCCCTGACCCTCAAGCTATAGGACTTATTTTGACTGGATTGCTTCAAAAGATCTCTCACCCGTTCATTGTAGATTTCCAGAAAGCTAGAGACACAGAGAAAAAGGGAAGACAGTTAAACAATGAGTTCAGAATCAACAGGTCCTGGATTCCTGTTCTGGCTCTGATAAACTTAAGACCTCAATCAAGCCAGGGTCTCCCTTATGTGTCTTTCTACAAGTACAAAGCAAGGTTCTGACCTCTGGCTACCATTATTTCCCCATTTATAACATCAGTGCCAATTTGAGATTCACTTTCAACAGGCTATTTTAATGTAATCTGAGTGGCTTTCAAATGTGATCCTTGTGTTGTTCTGGGTTTTGTTTGTTTTATAATATTTGTATGGGGGAATGCATATGTGAGTGCTGGTGCTCTCAGAGGCCAGGATGAGTCCATCCCCTAGACTAGAGTTACAGGTAGTTATGAACCACCAGACATGAATGCTGAAAATCAAGCTTGGCTTCTCTGCAGAAGCAGTATGCACTTGTGATTTGAATGAGAAATTTCCCCCATAGACTCAGACATTTAAATACTTGGTCCCTAGTTGGTGGCACTATTTGAGGAAGGTATAGATGGTAGTTGTGGTTTGAATGAGAATGGCCCCCATACACCATGGGCTCATATATTTGAAAGCTTCGTCCTTAGTTGGTTGAATTGTTTTTGAAGAATTACGAGGTGTAGCCTCTTGGAGGAAGTGTCAGTTGGGGGAGGCTGTGAGGTTTTAAGAGTGAGCACTAGCCATTTCCAGTTAGCCCTCTCCCTAATGCTTGTGGATCAAGATGAAAGCTCTCAAGTATTCCTATTACCATGTTCCCTCCATGGTGCTTATAGCCTCGAACCCCCTGGAACCATGGCTGCCACATTAAATGCATTCTTTTGTAGTTACCTCGGTCATGGTGTCCTCCTGCAGCAATTGAAAAGTAACTAAGAGAGTGAGCAGAACAGTGGAAGAAGTGTGTCACTGGGGGCAGGCTTCGAGATTAAAATCCTCGTGACAGTCCCCATGAGTTCTCTCAGCTTCATGATTATGGTTTAAGATATGAGCTCTCAGCTTCCTTCCTGCTTTTTGTCACCTTGCTGTACCCACCATTATATATCCTAACCTTGTGGACCTGTAAGTCCAAATAAACTCTTTCTTCTATCAGTCGCTTTGGTCTTGGTGTTTTGTCATAGCAACAGAAAAGGAACTAAGATAGCATTCTTTTTTGAGTTAAACTTTTAAAAATCTAATTAATATTTTTTTCTATTTATTTTACACATTAATTACAGTTTTTCCTCCCTCCTCTCCTCTGTCCTGTGCGTCATGTCCCACCCCCTTCCCCATCCACTCCTCCTCTGTCTCCATTCAGAAAGGTACAGGCCCCCTGGGCCTGAACAAAGCATGGCACATCAAATTTAGGCAGCACTGAGCTCCTCCCCCTGCATCAAGGTGAAGAAATCCAGCATGGGGAATAGATTCCCAAAAGCCATCTAAGCATCAGGGACAGGTCCTGGTCTCACTGCTAGGAGCTTTACAAGGAACTAGGACATTTAGGGGTTTGGAGCTTGAGTTCTTACCTTACTTTTATGCTGCGGGAAGAAGGCAGTGAGGCACAGTCGTCTTCCATGATGAAGAGACCCTGCACAAAATCAGAGGGTCAGATTTCACAGAAGAGTTGACATAGGAAACTTACTCTGGAAGTACATGATCAAAGAGAGTCCATACCTCACATATCCGTGGGGTCAGTCCAACAGAGGCCTGGATGACAGAAAAAGAAAAACATTACTGCTCACTCTGGGCAATGCCCCTGCCCTCCTCCTACCCCCAAACACCCGGAATCCTGGGCCCCCCTAAACACAGAGGAGGGGTATGTGGGCGCTTAGTGCTAGCTAACCTCTACAGGAGGATTATAAAACTAGAGGCTGGCACTATCAAGAGACACAGATGAGAGGCAGATTATCACCAGAAGATAGATAGGAGAAGCTGGCAAACCTAGACATGTGCTTTCCTGCAATGAACTTTATCATTTCCCACCATTAATGTGGTCTCTTCTAGATTCCTACTGTGTCTAGATCCCTAGATACAGAAGCACACACAAACACCCTCTGCAAAACTGTGCAAAAATCCAAAGAAGTAGATAGTTCCACGATCTCATACAGAGGCTTAAGGTTTTATCCCCTTTGACCTAGTAGGAATTTTTTTTAATTTCAAATGTCTGAAACCACACTGACCATAGACAAAGGGAACAAAGAGCTGTACCCAGAGAAGTGGGCTATTGTTTCAGATTGTTTCTATACAGTGTTATTTGTCAACCACTGCCCAGGTCATCTCACTAGCATACTTCTATATCTAAAAGAAAGGGTTTTCTTTTTTTGTTTGTTTGTTGTTGTTGTTGTTGTTTTTTCTTAGTTAGACTTGTTTATTCAAGTATCCAAAAACACTCTTTCCACTTCCTCCCCTCCTCCCAAAACCCTCCCGCTCCCCCCACTCCCTCTCCTCCTCCCTCACCATTCACAAGAGCAGTCAGGGTTTCCTGCCCTGTGGGAAATCCAAGTTCCTCCCCCCTCCCTCCAGGTCCAGGAAGGTGAGCATCCAAACAGTCCAGGATCCCAAAAAGCCAGTCCATGCAGACGAAACAAGACCCAGTGCCATTGTCAATGGCTTCTCAGACAGGGTTTCTCTGTGTAGCTTTGGAGCCTGTCTTGGAACTAGTTCCTGTAGACCAGGCTGGCCTTGAACTCACAGAGATCTGCCTGCCTCTTCCTCCAGAGTGCCTGGCTAGAACGGGTATTCTTAAGGAACGTTATCCCCTTAATTTTATTTTTGGTGCTGTTGTCTGTTTTGAGACATAGTCTCAGTGTGTACCCCTGGCTGGCCTGGAACTCACAAAGATCTGCCTGCCTCTACCTTCAAAGATTAAAGGAATTAAAGGCACGTGCCACCAATTTAAAAACAACTTGCATTATAGTCTACATTTTTAAAGCCCCCAGCCCAGGTACATCTCTTGCTTTCTTCTAATACACATAGCTTTTAAAGCTGGACACAGCATTCTTATCTCTGTATAGCACTAAAATGCAGTCCAGGTTTAACCCCAGTCAAACTGTGAAGCTTTATGCGATGAACCTGGAAATAATATATATATCCAGTGGGACCAACAAGGACTCTTTGTCAAAGGGAATCATGAAAGTCTAGTTTTTCAAAGTTTCACAAAGAGAGACTAATTATACAAACTTTACTGTTCAGGTAAAGTGAAATGCAATTGTTAAGTATAGAAGAGGGTCACACACACGCCTTTAATCCCAGCACTTGGGGGGCAGAAGCAGGCAGATCTCTGTGAGTTCAAGCTCAGCCTGGTCTAGAAGAACTAGTTCCAGGACAGGCTTCAAAACTATAGAGAAATCCTGTCTCGAAAAACCAAAAAAAAAAAAAAAAAAAAAAAAAGGAGAGGGTCATTACTCTATTTAATATTGATTATGAAGGTCATGCTCCATATCACAGTGGTAAGGACAATGTAAGATGCAGGTTTGCTGTGACATTAGGAAGACAGTTCACTCCAGTGGAACACTTACTGGAGTCCCCAGCATGGTATATGTCTTCCCAGAGCCCGTCTGCCCATAGGCAAAGAGGCATATGTTGTAGCCTTTGGCAGCTCCAGACAGTACTTCAGTACCCAAGTCCTGGAACACCTGTAACAACAAAAGAGAGCTTGTCATTGGTCCATCCTCCCACAGCACATTTAAAAAAATACATGAAATCTAAAATAAAAACAAAAAAATATTGGGGCTAGAGAGATGGCTCAGCAGTTAAGAGCACTGGACCTGGGGTTCAATTTCCAGTATCCACATGGCAGCTCACACTTGATTTAGTCATTCATAAAAATCACTTCAGCTTCACAAAAAAGATTTTAAGGGAAAATTCAGTAAGTCAATTGCTCAAATATTTTTAAGTACCTACTGTGTACTAGCCTCGTTTTTGTTGTTTGTTTTAAAATATGTTTCCTAGTCCTTTTTGTTTTCCTTTTTTCCCCCCAAGACAGGGTTTCACTGTGTAGCTCTGGCTGTCCTGGAACTCACTTTGTAGACCAGGCTGTCCTCACACTCACAGAGATCCGTCTGCCTCTGCCTCCCGAGTGCTGGGATTAAAGGCCTGTGCTACCACTGCTAGCCCTTTTTAAAGGGATTTATTTTCATTATCTGCGTGTAGGTGCACATAATGTGTGGAGTATGTGCACACACATGTGTGAGTGCCTGGTGATGCCAGAAGAGAGCATCAGATTCCATGGAACATAAGCTATGGGCAGTTATGTCTACTTGGTACGGGTACTAGAAACCAAACTTAGGTCAGCTCTAAGAGCAGTAAGTACTCTCAAATGGCTGAGCAGTGTCTCAGCCCCAGTGTTCTGTAGTCTAACACAAAAGAGCCTAAGGCAGGACAAAGATAAAAAGGCAAAGGCCTGCTCTTCCTCATACACGGAGAAATGCTTTCTATGGCTAATGAGGTGCTTACAGTGAAACACTGCTCAAGAAGGTAACTCATGGTCTGAAGACCCCACAGGGCCAGCTAGGAGTTAGAGGAAGCTGTCCCTGACGGTCGCTCCTCTGACTGCTCCTGATAGCTGGCAGGTTCTGCTGAACAATCGCTTCATCTGTGGTCAGGTTTTGTGACTAATTAAGAAACCCCAGTAATCCTCATGTGGAAACTGTACTTTAAGTTTCTAAGCTTCCTGAAATTTCAACTAAACTCTGCCAGACAGCATCCAAACACTCTTGACCACCGATGTTGGTCTTAGTGGGAAGCAGAATCCAGCTTTCCACCTCGGAGCCCTCTTCACTTGCTGGCAGCTGGGACAATGATACACAAAAGGAGGCTGCCAAGCAGGTAGACAGTCCTATTTGACTTCCCGAAGAAAGACACAAAAGCAGAACAGCAGATGGCAAGTTCTCCAGGAGTGCCAAGCACAGCGGCCAAAGTGTCAACTGTGTGGCACTGCCTGCTATTCCTGCTGCCGAGGGGGCCCCAGTGATTTCCCGATTATTTTTTCAACTTCTCTTTCAATTCTGTGAATCATCCAGTATGGTTCCAAACTGTAGTGTGGATCTTCTCTTGTACTCAGAGTTGGTGATCCTAGGCAAGTTACTTGCGTTTTGTAAACTCCGGTTTCTCCAGCTGTAAGATGTCTATCACACAGACTGCTGTAGAGACTGCTGTCACACGTGAAACTGGGGGCAACCAGGTAAAGACAGGAGCTAAGTCAAGACTACATCGTTCCATATTCTAGCAGCCGCATTTATGCTTCTTGGCAGTGATTGCTTCTGTTTGCTTTTTAATGCTTCCATGGTCTAGGCAAAAGGTCAAAAGAACCCAGGGTGTAGTGAAAGACTTGGGCTCTGTTCAAGAGAAATCCTTCCCATGTTCTCTCTTGTAGCTCTCTCTAGTCACACTAACTCTATGCTAACAAAGTTATAAATTGGGAGAGGTCTTGCTTGTCTTCTAAAGTCTGGCCAAGTGACATTCCTTGAGTCTGAAGAAGCAATATATTTTGCTGCATTAGACTAGATGAATTGACTACCATTCATTCACTATTTGAAATATCCTCCACAGAACTCCAGCTTCCTGGGGCAGGAGGTGAGAACAGAGGAGGAGAGAGCAAAGAGCCACATCTAAATTTAAACTTTATTTCTGCCCTGTTGCAGAATTGTTCATACTACCACTCTGCCATGGCAATAAAGTTTATTAGGGCAGAGCTAGCTAATAACTAACCAAAATTAGCCATAGAAGTTTCAGAGGACTGAGGACATATAGAGAGACATGGGAAGTAGTAGAGAGATGCTTAGAAAGATGTGTGTTCTTTGGATTAAGGAAGGAGACAGAAAGGAGGTCACTAGTTGCTTCTCTGCCTCTTCTCTGATCAATCTGGTTCTAACCCCATACTGACTCGGGAGTTTTTATTAATAATAGAATAATTTAGGTAATTGTTACGCTACCCACAGTTTATGCTCAGCTGAGCAGAGTAAAGAGAGAGAGAAAAATCAAAGATTATTACTTTGTTCATGTCTTTATCCAAATGCAAATAACTGTCTATGTGTTCTCTGAAAGTTTCATTGAAGAAAGCACTATAACTGATAATAGAAGAATATCAACAGGGATCTGGGCTCCAGTCAAGAACAATGGAGACTAAGACACAGTACTACAGCTGGGCAGTGGTGGCGCACACCTTTAATCCCAGCACTTGGGAGACAGAGGTAGGCAGATCTCTGTGAGTTCAAAGCCATCCTGGTCAACAAGCGCTAGTTCCAGGACAGGCTCCAAAGCTACAGAGAAGCCCTATCTCGAAAAAACAAACAAACAAACAACAACAAAAAGAAGATACAGTACCCACTCCTCAAGAGCTGGTAGGCTTAGCTCATCAGAAGATCCTGGAAAACCCACAACCTTAGAGGAAAACCAGGAGATAACACATGTTCCACTCCACCCATGTTAACACAATGGAACAGATAAAATAGCTCACTATTGCTGGTGGCCATGTCTGGGGAGCAGCAGGTAACAATTGGGGTTCGAGGTGTCAGCCCATCAGTAGAAGACTCTGGTGGTTGAGCTCAGTTAGGCAAGGCCCTGAGACCACAGACTCTAGGATGTCTTTTGCTTCCTTTACAAGTTGCTGTTGCTATCTTTCTCTGGTATCTGGCATGGTGTGAATCGGGTGCGGGGAGATGCCCTACTGCCTGTAATGTAATGTGTTTATCTAATGGAAACATCGTGCTCACTGGACATTTTTACCTGTAGACTATTATAAAAAATGATTTCTCTCTAACAGGTACTGTCTAATTTATAATAATAATGTTATATTATACAATATATTATATAATAATATTAAAGATACAGAGTTTTGATGAATAAAAGTCACTACAAGGAAATGTTACACAGCAGAAGCCTATGTAAGGGCTCACTTAAGGAGCTGCCTAGACCATAGCTCAAGTTAATGATTAAGAGAAACAGTTGAGTCCCGGAGCCAGGCTGGCTCTAATTTCTTTAATCTTAGTGCTGAAAGATGCTAATACCAAAAGACATAGTCACAGGTCTCGGTGTGCATCATTAGCTGAAACAAAGCGTTTTTACCCGTACTCTGTAAGAAATTTAGCACAATCACTGTATGGGGTAGATATATTGGATTGAACAACTGTATTTCAGAAGTACCTTCATCTTGAAGAATCCTTGTAGAAAACAGTGATTGTTTTGCCGGGGGGGGGGGGCTGTGGCCATCCTATGACTTTGGTCACAAGGCACCTCAGGTACATCTGAGGCTCTTGTATTATTGTGTATTGCACACAATACATAGTGAATGATTAGAATCATGGAGGTATGTGATGGTCACCTTCAGTAAGACATGCAAATTTAGATTAGAGACCTTGGTATGAGGAAATACTCTGTACAACAATCAATAAATATGTCTTTGTATGGCTGTTTGGAGTCTAGTCCAAGCCTGGTCCATTCCAGTTCAATCTATCAGAAGAGGCTGGACCTTCCTGCTGCTACATGGGCTGTAAAGAATACAGAAGAATAAAGAAGGAAATCATCAAGAGAGTGTATGAGTGTCTTTTTCGTTAACAGCCTCAGACAGAAAAGTCCAATGCTGTGGATTGCCCTTTGAACCCTGTGCTGCTTGGAGGCTGGTCCCCCAAGCAGCAATACTATAGTAGCATTTTATCTGTATTTTAATAAATAAAGCTGTGCCAGAAGATTAGAGAGTAAAACAGCCTCACTGATCAGCCTTACACACACCTTTAATCTCAGTAGCCACACTCGTTGCAATAGAAACTGGGTTGTGCATGCCTTTAATCCCAGTGGTGCATGCCCTTAATCCCAGCCCTAGAGAGGATTATAAAGTGGGAGGAGCAGGCTGCTCTCAGACGCAGTCTCATTCTGAGATTCCTGGAGGCAGGATGGCCATTTTCGGAATGAGGTCAAGATAAGAGCCAGTAGCTGGATGTTTTGCTTTTCGGGTCTTCAGGTTGAATCCCATTTCTCTGAGTTTTATTAATTGTGCCTCACGGTATGACATCAGACACAGTCTATAGGTTAAGATAAGTCACTGAACTGCAGTCTTCCGCAGACACCAATTCAGGAGAGATAGGTGACTTCCTTTATTTTTTTCAAGAGTTAAGATACATAATGCATAGCAACTCTAGACCTTTTTCTTTCTTTCTTCTCCTTCCTTCCTTCCTTCCTTCCTTCCTTCCTTCCTTCCTTCCTTCCTTCCTCCCTCCC